GAGGCTCAGGGAATCGAGCAAGGGACCTGAAGACACTTCACTCGTGCCCGAGTGCACGATGGCGGATATCTGTAGGAGAGACCCAGGTGTGGGGGCGTCTCGCGCAAGAATTCTTCGCAATTTGCATGGTTTGGCCCCTGGTTTACTGGTTTGGCCCCTGGTATGGCAGTTGCCCCGCCTGGTTTGTCCTGAGGATGTGCCTGGTTTGTGCCCTGGTTTTGAGCCCGTTTCCTTAGATAAGTCTTCGCAATTTGTTTGGTCTGCGTTGGTTTTTGTTCCGCGGTTTCGCTTGAGTTGTCCTCGTAACTTGCCTTGTCCAGCGCGGTGTCGCCTGACGCCTCCTTACGATCTGCCTGGCTGGGACTAGTTTGGGTGCGGTTTCGCTTGGAACGTCCTTGCAATTTGCAAGGTTTGGCCTGTGTTGGGCTCGGGTTCACCTCAGACAACGTAACAGCTTCCTTGATGTTTCGTGAATCGGGCTGGGTGTCGCTTGGTGCGAGCTCGGTGGTGCAAGCCGCATCGCCTCCGTCACCAGCTGCAAGCCGGCGTTTGCACGTGGACTGGCGTTTGGAACACATTCCCTTGAGCCTGGCCCTCACTAGTATGCGACCGGTTGCCCAGCGCAATCCAAGCGAGCTGAGCCTCTGAAATCAATGGGAGTAAGTGGGCGCGCGAGCGTCGCTCGAACTCCGCGGTGGTACAGTTTGGTGTTCCCCTCCTCGGAGGCTTCAGATATCGGCCAACAACGTTTCAAATACTCGAGCCAAGAGGGTTGCACAAGTGAGATTCAATGAGGGCATCCAAAAATATACCAAAGCGACGACGACGTCGTCATCGACGTGGCGTGCCCCCGATGAGAATGACGTCGAATTGATGTGGAAAGTCGGCGACGTCGTCGCCAACGGCAGTCGACGTCGTTTCCCAAATGGACGACGTCGTCGTCGTCGGGGGCGAGTGCAATATGTAAATCAAATGAGAAACCAGCCTGTCACCAGGTGCCCCACGGATTCTCTTTGACCCCCATGGACCCGGGACCTTCCTGAAGGATTTTGAGGAGGCCGAGGTCGACGAATTCAGAGATCCGATGATTTGATTTTTGGATTTTCGTTCCAGTAATGATTGGGTCCCCAGACATCCCCTTTCCCAAAGACGGGCTTCTCATGTCGTTTTGACGGTCCTGGGGCCAAAGGAGGACTCAAAGGGTCCGAAACGTGGCGAACCTGCTCCGCACTGTTGTCGTAATTTCGTGATGGTGCACTTTAATACCTCTGAGGTCTTACAGCAGCGCACGAGCGAACACATCATACTATAACATGTTATTTAATCGCTTCGCTCATTCCGCTGGCCCTGGAGCGCTATTTGGGGCCTCTTGAGGCCGTCTTGGGGGCCTCTTGGGGGCTTCTCGGGAGCGTCTTGGGGCTCCTCGGCGGCGTCTTGGGCTCCCCTGGGGCCTCTTATATTGGGGGGTCTTGGGGGCCCCTTGGGGCGGGAGGGGGGGTAGTCGATTGCAGCCACCCCCTCGGAGGCCACGATCCTCGTGAGGGGTGGCGAAAAATAGCCTCCCCCCTGGGGATCGCCCGGGACCCGGCCGGGGATCGGCCAGGGTATTTTTCGTCCGGGGGCCCCCAGGGGCCGCCCCGCGCGCGCGAACTAGAAATATTGTTAAGTAGTTATTGGAGATCTTAGCACGCCTCTGGCCCGTTGGGCCGGCGAATTCGGCATCGGGGGCGCTTGTCCCAGGGCGGCTGGAAAGTTTATCCTCTCACGTGCCACTGCAGGGGTGTCAATGTTCCGACCGCTCTGGGACAGGCGCCCCCAATAGCGGAAAGTATGCTAGCCGTCGTGGTTTCTTCACCACGCGAGGATGTCAGGATTGCGACCAGTTGCGAACTTTACGGTAATTTGGTTCGTGTCGTGTCGACACGGCGGCGACACAGCCGCGGGCGTTCAATGTTGAACGCCGTCAGTGGTCCAGAATCGGCCGATCTGAAACGATTTGGCGTTCGAAAAAGCCGCCGAACGTTTAAGGTTGAAGGATTCACACGGCGTCAGAAGCCAACGCCGAGGTCGTCACATCACGGATTTGCCGTACCCATGTCGGGTCCAATCGAAATTGGAGCATCGGACATGATATCGGACGCCCTCTTGGCTGCAGACGCTCTTCGAGTTCTTCACTGCTGGCGTTTCAGATCTTGTTGTTCATTATCTGTCGCGTGACCGCCGTTGCCGGGACTCCTCCCCCCTCTGTAGCAGTGGCGATCGTACGGGGGGGCGGGGGGGGGGGCTTGGACCCCCCCCGCATGCTCATGTTCGCGCGTATACTATGGCGATCGCAGCGCGCCCCCGCCCTGACGTGCCTGACTCCGCCCAAGCGTTACCATTACCTGAGGCCCCAACCCCCTTCCGGGTAACGACCGTTACCGGAAATGACATCGTTACAATATTGCATAGATCTGATTTGCATGGGTAGGTGACTTGTGACTGCTTGTCGGGATTACTCGCTCGATCAAGCGTCAGGGGCAACGATAGGGGGATGGGCTCAGGGGGGAACGCATCGACCCCCAATCGCCCATTCATCGCCGATAGGGGCCCGATAGCCAGCCCCGCCCAGAAACGTTCTGATTTGCAGTCGTGGGCCTAGGTCTGATCTATTGGCGAAGCATCGCCGATTCCAGGTCGATTCGTCCCCCCCTGAGCCAGCTCCCCTCCTGATTGCCAAGTGCCGAGGACCCTACAAGTGCCTTTTTACCTGACAGCGAAGACTGATAGGTTTCTAATGGTCTCAAAAGAAAGCATCATGACTCCCCAGGGGGGTCCAGGCAGGATCCGGGGAGAATCCGCGGAAGTCGTTTTCAGTGAACAGTTACACACTTCGTGGTCTTCGAGGTCCCAGAACTCCACTCCCGGGCCACATTCTGAATGCCCGGAGCCAACTGTAGGCCACTTCGTGCTCTTCGAGTTCCCAGAACTCAATTCCTGGGCCACGTTTTGAATGCCCGGAGCCAACTGTAGGCCACTTCGTGTTCTTCGAGTTCCCAGAACTCAACTCCTGGGCCACATTTTGAATGCCCGGAGCCAACTGTAGGCCACTTCGTGTTCTTCGAGTTCCCAGAACTCCATTCTTGGGCATGATTTTGAATGCCCGGAGCCAACTGTATGCCACTTCGTGTTTTTCGAGTTCCCAGAACTCCATTCCCGGGCCACATTTTGAATGCTGAGGCAGGCTGATGCTGAGGCTGAGGCAGGCTGAGGCTGAGGCAGGCTGAGGCTGAGGCCGAGGCTGAAGGCAGACTGAGGCTGAGGCTGAAGCAGGCTGAGGCTGAGGCTGAGGCAGGCTGAGGCTGAGGCTGAGGCAGGCTGATGCTGAGGCAGGCTGAGGCTGAGGCTGAGGCTGATGCAGGCTGAGGCTGAGGCAGGCTGAGGCTGAGGCCGAGGCTGAGGCAGACTGAGGCTGAGGCTGAAGCAGGCTGAGGCTGAGGCTGAGGCAGGCTGAGGCTGAGGCTGAGGCAGGCTGATGCTGAGGCAGGCTGAGGCTGAGGCTGAGGCTGATGCAGGCTGAGGCTGAGGCAGGCTGAGGCTGAGGCCGAGGCTGAAGGCCTGAGGCTGAGGCTGCAGGCTGAGGCTGAGGCTGAGGCTGAGGCTGAGGCTGAGGCTGAGGCTGAGGCTGAGGCTGAGGAGGCTGAGGCTGAGGCTGAGGCTGAGGCTGAGGCTGAGGCTGCAGGCTGAGGCTGAGGCAGGCTGAGGCTGAGGCTGAGGCTGAGGCTGAGGCTGAGGCCGAGGCTGAGGCTGAGGCTGAGGCTGAGGCAGAGGCAGGCTGAGGCTGAGGCAGGCTGAGGCTGAGGCTGAGGCTGAGGCTGAGGCTGATGCAGGCTGAGGCTGAGGTAGGCTGAGGCTGAGGCCGAAGCTGCAGGGACTGAGGCTGCAGGCTGAGGCAGGCTGAGGCTGAGGTTGAGGCAGGCTGAGGCTGAGGCTGTGACGACTGCCGTTGCCACTGCGACTGTCATCGCGAATGCGACTACGACTGCGAGAACAGCAGAATTCTACAACTGGATTCTCATTTGAATCTTAAGGGGAATGCTTCCAGATATGCTCCTACACATCGCTGTTAGGTTGCTTTGCCGGGATAATTGTTTCCACAATGCTTACACTTTCTTGATCCGTCCGCCTCCCTCTTGCCTTACCTTTATCTCCTGAATCCGCACGGCGTTTCAGAAATCCGACCTGCAGGGAGATTGCTGCTGTATCGCCTGGCGCGCAACGGGCGAACACCGGGTCATACCCCCCGCCAAATGTTGGTGTACTCGCGCGCATATTCAGGCGATCGCAGCGCACTCCCGCCCCGACGTGCCCCACCCCGCCCCAGCGATATCCGTCGGCGAGGTGTCGCCGATTCAAGCTCGAAGTTTCCCCCCCCTGAGCCAGTTTACGCCGGGCCGTTGACCCCTCCAAGGGTACCCCGCCCTCCCTCGGCTTCGCGCAGAGGCGGGCGCTTTAAGGGGGATGGGCTTCTTCAAGGCACCTCTGCTCCTTTAGATGGCACGGCCCTCATCTATAGATGTAATGCTGGCGCCTTCTAATCTAAGAATCGTGCGGGTGGCAAGTGGGGGGGATATACACGGGGGGGAGGAAGGGAGCCCTACAGGGGCTGGCCCAGAAGGAGCCCTAAATGGCGAATTCAGGGCCATCTCTTTCACCCCTCAGTCAGGTCACCCCCCAGTGCCACCCGTCCGAAAGAAGCCCTCCCCCCTCCCTCCCCCCTCGTGCGGAAGCCCTCTCCCCTCCGCGAGGGCATGAGATCCCGCGAGGCGCACGGTCGAGCGCGCGCACGGTGGTCCTCGATCCTCGATCCTCGATCCTCGATCCCCCCCCCTCGATCCTCGGTCCTCCCCGCGCGCCGCCAACTCCCAGCCGTGCGCCTCGGCCTCCTGCGGTCGCCGCGCGTCTGGCGCCCCGGCAGCCCGCGAGGGCGCGGGCCCCGCGCCCCCCCCCGGCCCGGCCAGGTGCCGCGCGCCGGCGCCGCCGAGGCCCGCGGGGAGGCCGGCGGCGTGGAGGTCAGGGGCGTCCTGGCGCAGGAGCGGCGCGGGGCGTCGACGTCGGCGTCTCGTCGGCAGCCACGTCGACGTCGAGAGCGGCGGCACGGCGTCGACGTCGAGGACGGCGTCGACGGCGACGGCGACGGCGACGTCGGCGTCGGGGGCGGCGTCGAGGAGGGCGTCGACGTCGACGTCGGGGAGGCGGACGACGACGTCCGCAGGCGGCGACGTCGGGAACGACGACGGCTGCGTCCCGTCAAGAGCGACGCCGAGGTCGAGGACGAGGACGACCTCGACGTCGGAGAGGGCGAGGGCGACGTCCGTCGGCGGCGACGTCGCACGTCGCGGAAGACGACGGCGGCGTCGGCGGCGAGGACGACGTCGACGACGGCGTCGACCGTCAGTTGAGGACGACGTCGACGTCGACGTAGCAATCCCCGGCGCTCCAGAACCGGCCGCTTCCTCCGCGCCATCTGCTCTCGCCGGCCTCCTGAGCTCGGGGTATCTGGAGACGGACGTCTGGGGCGCTCCAAGAAATCAGGGCAACGGTAGCGGGGGATAGGTTTTGGGGGGAACGCATGTAGCCCCCAAATCTCGAGGAAACGCGAACATGGATTACACGGCGCGTGGATTAGCGATAGGCACCGTTTCCACAGTATCGGCGCGTTATGCCACCAACTCGGGCGGCATTGGCACCATTTTTCGGGGGTGCCTTTCCCGACCCATGGATCTGGCGACCGCGCACCAGATGCACGTATCCCCAATCCATGTTAGCGTGCGCCCGACACTCGCCCATTCATTGCCGTTCGAGTCCCGATAGCCCGCCCCGTCCAGGAAAGTGCGGATTCGCTGTCGAAGCATTATCGCCGATCTATCGGCGATGTATTTCCGAGTCAGGTTCGATGTTGCCCCTCCTAAGTCAGTCCCCCTTATCGTTGCCCCTCACTCTCTTCCTCGGCTGAATGCGGCGGAAGCAAGAAAGAAGTCGGCTCCGCCGGTCGAAGGCTGGCGGAGGCCCGGCAGAGATTACAAGAAATATGGATTCAGGGATTCTGAAGCGGACCAGTTTGATCAAACCCTCAGGCTCCAGGAAGGACGGATGAGAATCACGGTTTGTTTTGACTCCCACAGACCCAGACCTCCAGACATTCAAGGCGGATGTCGTTCGCCAAGTTCGGCGTTTGGAGTTCGCTTCAAGGCCCAGGGGCCGTCAGGAAACATCCTGGGGCGTCAAAACTGGCCCCAGGAAAATGGCCGTGTCCTTTGGGGACCCCACGTTGAAAGGACGACGACGACGCCGGAGGTGTGTGTGTGGGGGGGGGGCGATCACGTCGACGTTGGGGAACGCAAGGGTACGCCACGCCGACGATGTCCTTGTCATCTCGAGGATGCCTGGGCGGTCGTCTGGAAGAGAGGCACAGGCCGAAGGCACCCGTGGGGGCGCGAAGATTGTCGCGCTTCGCGCGTCGCGGTCTGGCCCACACCTCGCCAGAGCGGTTGCGCTTCTCCAAGAGGGCGTCGCAAGGACGCGACGGCGCGCAGATAATGGCGCGTCGCGCAACACCAGACTCGCTGCGCGAGTTTAGGTGACCTAGAAGACGTGAACATGAACGTTCGGAGGTCTGCGCAGATGTGTCGGGTCGGCGCTGGATGCCCCTCCCTGCCGCCCCCCGCGCTCCGCGAGGCGGGGAATCGGTGTGGGGGTGTCCAGCGCCGACGCTTCGGGATCCGCACAGGCCTCTGGGACTTCCTGGCCGCCGGGCCCCCCAACACACAAAACTCGGATCGGCGCTGGAGCCCCCTTGCGGCGCCTTCGGCGGCGCCCCTGGCACGCCCCGCTCGCCAGGGAGGAGGGTCCAGCGCCGATCCGAAACAGCCGCGCGGGGGGAACCTCTGCCCCGACACTTGCTGCACTCTCGGGCGTGCGGGTGGTCTGGGAGTGGCCTCGGCATGGGCGCGGGTGGCCTCGAGTAGGCCTGGGGTGGCATTCGATGGAGTCGCATGGCCTCGGAGACGGCTCCTAATTATGGCCAAGGCAGGGGGGCGGATAAGGTTCAGATTCGACGTAAGATTGGAGGCACGCGCGGATGAGGAGGATAAGGAGGAGCGCGGGCAAGGGGGAGCGTGGGCAGGAGGGTGAGCGGTAGTGGAAGCAGGAGCGATGGCAAAGAGGAGGAGGACGAGGAGCTTGAAGGAGGTGAATCGGAAATGGAGGTCAGGAGGAGGAACAGGAGCCTCAACGCCTGCTGGAGCAGCCGGCCCCGATGGCCGTCCCCGAGCAGCCCACCTCGGAGATCTCGAAGCCGTTTGATTGCATGGCTGGCTACCCCGAGTGGGTCGACGGTTGGTCCCAGGAGCAGTTGACGTGGTGTTGCCACAACGAGCACAAGGGATGTGCAGCTCTGGTGATCGTGGAGGGCCAAGGGGGTAGCTTTCTGAATCCGATTTACCCCCTCACAGCGGCCGAGCCCATCAATGGAGAAATTGCATTCGCATGCCCGTCTCCAGATGATCGATATAGATTATGAAGTCCATCGTGGTGTTCTAGAGGTGATGTGTCATGAGAGATCTCGCCTGGGCGTTGTAGAGTTATCAAGACCAGGCAGCGGGAGCCACAGCTGGCCCCCCTTCTTGGGAAAGTCGCCCCACACATATAAAACATCGTTGGCGTGTATCGGGGCCGTCTAGGGGCGTCTCGGGGCTCTCTTGGGGTGTGCTGTCGCCCTCCGGAGCCTTGCTGGAGCCCTCATCAGCGCCTCTGGTGGCGTCTTCGAGCGCTCTTGGGCGCCTCTTGGGCCGTTTTGGACGCTCTGATGACTGGAGGTAGGAGAGGGCGAATCTCCAAAAGTGGTCGACACCTTACAACTAAAACTGCTGTTTGCCTGTCAGGGAGCCCTTGGGGCCCTACTGGGGCTCCCTGGCTCGGTCTAGGGCTGTCTTTGGGCCACCTTGCAGCCATCGTGGGGCTCGCGCCGGCTGCCTCGGGACTCTCTCACGGTGGTGTTGGAAAGGTAGCGTGCGATGTGGCGCCGTTGGCCCGCTAATAACACGCTGTCACCCACCTTCGGGATAGCGTGCACCGACGAAGCCCAGGCAGGGCGATAGCGTACTCAGCAGAAGCCCTCGTGGTGGGATTGCCTCATAGGGATCGCGTGTTCGGTTCCAGAGGGCGATGTTGCACGCTATCTGTCCAGCGCCAGCCGTAGACGGAGGGAAGACCAAGAGACGGATGAAGCGGTGCAAGAGATGGAGCAACACCCAGCAGCAGGAGCCCGCGGGGGCCCCGCCAGGAAGAGCCAGGCCCCCGAAGTCGCGAGTTCTTCAGAACGTAACCCCCCAGAGTTCTCGACTCTCAGTATCGACGATACTGAGTATCGACGATACTGAGAATCGGGATGGGGATGGGGCTCGATGAAACGATACTGTATCGTTTAATCGAGCCCCATCCCCATCCCGATCCCCACCAACCCGCCACCCCAGTTGGGGATGTGGCCCTCGAAACCCGAAGGGACCAGCCTGGATCCCCACCTAGGGGGGTCAATCGACCAGTGGGGCCCAGGCCACGCCCGTGGGGATAGGGATCGGTTAAACGATGCTCAGACCCATTCCCCGGCGCCGGCTTTTCATTCTGGTTTGTTTTTTGACGGTCCCGGGGCCCGCCCCCAGAGGCCGAGCATGGCAAAGTCATTTCCAGTTCCACGACGCGAGGGGATCTGGGGAGGAGGGTTGGCAGCGGCAGGGCGCGAACGGGGGGAGAGCGGCAGCGGGAGCCAGCGCAGGTGCACGAGGTCGCGGAGACCCCGACGGAGCCCCCCGCCGCTATCGCGGCGAGCACGGCCGCGCCCCCCACGATCGCCGCGGCCACGACCGCGGGCACGACCGCCGAGCCCCCCGCCACCACGGCGAGCACGACCGCGGAGCCCCCCGCCACCACGGCGAGCACGGCTGCTCCTGGCACGTCCGCCACGGCCACGGCGGGCACGACCGCGGAGCCACCTGCCACCACGGCGTCTGGCGGGGCCCAGGCGCCTCAGGGAAGGGAGAGATGCCGCTGCTCGTCCCGGGGGGTCCTCATCACCATGGCTGGATTCTCCTCGAGATTCTGGTCAGAACTCACCTGGGAGAGGTCCAGGGAGCAGCGGTATTGGTACCGTTTTTCCCCCGCAGGCTCCCGCCCCGGCGCCGCCCTCGGTCAGCTCGTTGGTGGGCGAGCTCAATTGCGCTCCCGACTACCCCACCCATCTGACAGGTGACCCGGATGGCGTCGCTTCACCCGCCAGTCCGATCCCACCGTCCTCCTTCATTCCCCCTCCTCCCCTCCGTACCCCCTTCCTCTCTATCTCTTCCACCCCCTCTTCCCACCGTCCTCGCACCGTCCTCGTACCCATGTTGTCGGCTCAAGATGATATTGCAATGGCCGCCAGGCCAGTTTCGCCGGCCTTGAGAGGTGAACAGCTTGGGGGCAAGAGATGCAAGAGGCGGAAATGGGAGTGGGGCAAGGGGCAGTGGCGGTGTGAATGCGAGGGCGAACATTTGATGAATTTCGGACGATCCAGCCAGCGCCTGTGTCGTATTCGAGAGGCCGTGGAGACATTTTCGAGGATCTTGGGGAGTTCTTGGGAGGATCCTGGGGATCCCTGGGGGCCTCTGTGGCCCATATGAAGGTTTGAGAGCACCTTGGGGCCTCTCTGGGGTACCTCGGGGGTCTTGGGCTCATGTTGGACGGCAAGGAAACTCCCAGCGCTGCGACAGTGGCATACGATTTGGGCCCCTCTTGAGGCCATCCTCAGGGCATCGGGCCTCTGGGACCGTCTTGGGTTGATTTTTCAAGGGTTCTTGGGTCGAGTCGGACGGTCGTGCGACCGATGCGAGAATGGTCAGATCACACCAGGCCCCAGGTCTTCACAAGAGTTCCCAGGCTGGCCCCGAGAGGGCTCTAGCGGTCCTAGGCGACCCAGGGATAGCCAAGTTTGCCCCGAGGCCGCCCGAGAGGGCTCTAGCGGTCCTAGGCGGCGGGGATGCGCGCCACTTCTAGGGAACCCTCTCCTTGGGATCCCCTTTGAGACGTTCGGCCACGGTCAGAAGGGGGCACGGGGCCGGAGGAAGGCTTCTTAGAAGCACCCCTGGCTCTTTCAGGAGAGAAAGAAACACACAGACACAAGTAATCGTCGATCCCCCAGAAAATATGGGAAAATATGGGAATTGGGCGGGGAGACAAAAACCCAGAAAACATATGAAAATATAGGGAATAATTCTATTTGTGTGTATTTATGTGTGTGTGTGTGTCCTGGGGCCCCTTCATTCTTGGAAGGCGCGGGCCTTATCTGTAGGTTATGACCGGCGCCTTCTCAGAAGCAGCCGCCTCCTTCGAATAAGGCTTCCCCCCTCCCTCAACCCCCAGAGCGCACACTCCTGGGATCCCCTACCAGGCACCCCCAGGAACCCCCTCCCCCCGCAGGGAACGGATCAAAGGAAAGGGCCTTTGACTCGATACGACTTGGGTCGATTCACCTCGCTCTGGCGAGCCTTGAGAGCCCCAGGCGGCCGCAGGGAAAGGGGGGATAGCTTCGAGCGGAAAGCGTTTCCCAGGACCACTCCAGGACGACCTTTCCCAGTCTCCCCCTCACATACGCCGACGGGGTCGTCGGTTTTTCCTTGTGGGCACCGCCCACTGGCTTTCCAAGGATGCCGCTGGCCCGTGGCGGTCTTCGGCTTCAAGTCCTGCTTCAGGACCCTGCATGGCGCTGTACTCTACTTGTTCATCCCGGTGCGCATTCCCGTCCCCATTGCTCGGCGGCGTTGACGACAGATCGCACCGAGAATGTAAGAATGAGTAGCCCCAGAGACAGCGGTCTCTCCAGCGCGTCGGCGCAGCTGATCACCGCCCGCAGCGATAAGGCTGACAAGTCTCGCCGTGACCATCGCCCCACCCGCCATGGGCATCGACGCAATGCTGGTGAGCACCCTGTTGCCGCCCGTGTCACCGAAGCTCTCGTGGGCGCGCAGGGCTCCCGTGCCCTGCCCCGCTCGGACCACGTTACTCGCGGCACGCTGCTGAAATAGGAGTCGATGCATCTGGAGGTAGGGGCCGTGCTGGCCCTAGCGGCGGCGAAGTTGTCAGTCGCAGCCCCGCCTTGGAGCGAGCCGTCGCCGCCTTGGCCAGGGCAGTTGGTGTTTGCCCTGCCGGCGGGGCAAAAGCACAGGACATTCGACACACCTGGCGCTTACAGACCGCAAGAGCAGCTATCACAGGCTCAACCAACACCAGCTGGCAGGCGCAGCCGCCGCACGAACTCTGCAGCTACCACCGGCTTTCCAATTGCAGCAGATTGCACCAGCATAGACACCAAGTCAAAAACGTTGTGTATGACAGCACGCATTTTCGGAACGGCACGGCGTGCAATTCTTCACGTTGGGAATTGCAGGCGTGACACGACACATTTGCAGCAGACGTTGAGGTTCAGGGGCGGCACCGCGCGGCAACTTACTTCGCGCTCTGGAAATCAGGCACGGCACGGTACGGAAATGCATTCATATTCTGATCATGAAGTTCAGGCACGGCGCGGCACATTCTCCCCATTCTGCAGCTAACGTTCGGCACAGCACGGCAATCCAATCGCATTGTGATTTTCAGGCACGGCGCGACTTTGCGAGTTTTGACATCCAGGTGCGGCACAGCACAGCAATCCCTTCGAATCTGAAGGTCATGCACAGCACAGCACGGCATCTGCATCGCATTCGGAAGTTCGGGCACGACACGGCACAGTGTTGTTCGGATTGTGGTTTTCAGGCACGGCTCAGCACGGCAAGTGTTTCGTTTTCTGTTGTTCAGGCACGTCTGGCACGGCACTGCACGTGTTTCGCAACAGAACGACACGGCAATTGCCTCGCGTTCTGGAGCGGGGGCGCGGCACGGCACAGACATGTTGCCGCATTCTCAAGCCTATTCACGGCAGAGCACGGCACGGACATTGTCCCGCATTCTGAAGCCGAGGGACGCCATGGGAGTTTCTTTGGCACAGCCCGACACGGCATCTTTTTCGCACAGTCGCCTTGGCATTCACAGTTCCTCCGTCCAGGCCCCCAGCGTGTGCCATGCGATCTCTCCGACTTGGAGCTCCGCCTAGCAGCACCATATGTGTGGGGGTGTCTATCTGTACTTCTATCTCACTATGCGCATACACACATCGTTGATGAGAGCGGTCCAGGTGCAAGCCATCAGTTTTTACACTCACAGTAAGAATGCGTCTGAGGACCATTCGAAGCTCCCTCTCACTGCAAACCGTGCTCATAGCTGACGTTGTCCTCCTTTGCGCCCGCAGCTAGTTTTCGACTTGGTCTTCAGGTGAGCCTTCAGTGCACAGTCACTCCTTTTCCTTGCCCTCCTCCCCCATTCCCTCTCGCATTCTCCTCATCTCCGCCGCCTGTGCTCTCCCCCATCACTCACGCTTTCCCCTGCCTTCCCCCTCCCAGCCGTCCTCCTCCCCCTCAGTCGAAGACTCTAGGTCGTCGTCGTCACCCACCTCTGGAGGGAGAGGGAAGAGAGGGACCAGGGTTTCTCGCCCACGCCTCGGCTCGGAGTCCTCTGCCTGATATGAGGCTCGCCAGAGCCGACAGCCCTCCCCAGGCCACAGCAGGCTTCTGCCCAGTCGAGGTCAAGAGCCCAGGGAGACCCGCTCTTAATGATTGATTCGTGTCGAGGGCATTGCGTTGGTGGTCTTTTCGTTGCTATGGCGTTTGTGCTTTCGTCGGGTGTCCATCAGTACCGTTGGAATCGGACGATACGGGGGCAGCATCCACGGATTGAGAAGGGGCGTGGCCTTGTTCCGGGCGCCCTTGGGTCCATGGAGTGCCTCCAGCGGGCAGCCCGGCGAGAGTACAGCGCAATGGAAGACAGCAGCCGGAGCAGGGTGTCGAGGCGGGGTTTCCTTCTTGCAAGCGTGCGGCCGCCCGCTTCGCCATGCAAGGGGTAGGATCAGGCAGTGTCGGACTCCTCTCCCGACTCCCCCTTCCGTATCCATCCCCCCTTCTGGTCGTCTAGCTCCCTTCCCGCGTCATCCATCCCCCATCCGCTTCGTTCTTACTGGTCTCCCGCCTCGTCCATCCCCATATCGACTCGTCCATCCTCTGTCCGCTTTTCCTCATCCCCCCTTGAAGTTGTCTCCCCCCCACCCGCTTCGCTCGTTGTGGTCGTCAAACTCTTCTCCCGCCTCCCTCTTCTCGTCAACGGTGAGGACAGGCCGTCGTCCAAGCGGTGAGGCTAGACAGCGACACCTCCTCAATCGAGCCCTCCTCGACAGAATCGTCGAGCAGGCTCGGGGGGAGTAGATACCGACACCTCTTCACCCGAGCCTTCCTCAACAGGATCGTCCAGCAGGCTCGGAGAGAGTGGGGAGTTCAGGATGATTTCTTCCACCACGCTCCATCTTCCCCCACCTCCCCCCTCGATTCCTCAATACCCTTTCCCGATCCATATCCCCGATCCCCATCCCGATCCCCACCATCCCGGCACCCCAGTTGGGGATATGGCATTCGAAACCCGAAGGGACCATCCTATATCCCCATGTAGGAGAGTACATCGGCATGTGGGGCCCAGGCCACACCCGCGGGGATAGGGGTCGGTTCAACGATGCTCAGACCCATTCCCCAGTGTCGGCTTTTCATTATGTTCTATGTTTGACGGTCCCGGGGCTCGGCGAGGGCCCCCAGAGGCCGAGCATGGCAAAATCATTTCCATTTCCACGACGCGAGGGGATTTGGAGAGGATGGTTGGCAGCGGCAGGGCGCGAACGGGGGGAGAGCGGCAGCGGGAGCCAGCGCAGCGGGATCAGTCAGAGCAAGGTATATGATCGAGGTCGGTTCGGGAGGGTGCCCTAGTGTTCTTCGTGTTTGTTAGATGTTCTTGTGTATCTTGGGGAGGGGTATCCTAGGATGTTCTGTATGTTTTGGCCGACGGAGGGTCTCATGTTCTGGAGGGATGTTTTGCCTAGCCTAGGTCCGACTGTAAACGATGCTCACCGTCCCGCCGTTTTCCCACGGCCCCCCCCCACCCTGGGCGGACGGGCGCGGGGAAGGGTTGCCTCTCAGGCGACAACGACCCGGGGCGCCGGTCGGCCTGCCTGTTGGGCAACAACAAGAAAGACCGCTTTGTCAAGGGGGGGGGCGTGTTACAGGGAGGAGGAGGAGAAGGAGGAGGAGGAGGAGGAGGAGGCGGGGGAGGGGGAGGAGGGGGAGGAGGCGGAGGAGGGGGGGTATCCCGCTCCGTCGGGGGCGGCCGCGGGCGCGAGAGCGCCGCGAGAGTGAGAGAGGAACGCTGCGAGAGAGAGAGAGAGAGAGAGAGAGAAAGAAAGAAATAAAGAAAGAAAGACAGCAAACCACAAACATGCATATATAGAGAGAGGGAGCGCGCGAACGCGGCTGTGAACGCTGCGGCGCGTTCCGAGAGAGATGAGGAGGAGGAAGTGCGGAATGATTTGTACCCTTGAGCCAGCCAGCGTGGCAGCTCTCTCTCTCTCTCTCTCTCCGCACGCCGCCCCATCGTGATGTGGCTGCGACGCGGTGGCAAGGCGCCGCGGAGGGGGCGCGCGCGCGACAGGTGTGGAGACGGGGAAAGAGGGAAAGGGGAACCTGACGCATACGATCCCTATTGCCAGCAGGCTGATCAGACCTACTGCAGACAAGTATCCAGCAAAGAGCGTGCAAGTATATACTGCGAGCGGGGCGTGCAATGGCCAGCTACTGCCAAACGTGTGCGTATGACACGTGGACGCATGCATATCACTAGGCATTCGAAGATGCCGGGCGCGCCCCGACTTTGTAGCGGCCCTTACTGGCAGGAGTTGGCACACAGGAGACCTTGGAAGCAGTCCCTGGGGGCGCTCCTTTGGATTTCGACGTCGTAGTTTTCAGGGCAGCTCGGAAGCCCATGTGTTCACATTGCGGTTATGCTGCTTGCGGTCTTTCTGCTTGTCGGATGGTGGAGGATTATGGAAACAGCGTTTGTGAAGAAGACGTAAGTTGGCTTCGGCCGTTTTCTTCGAAGGTCGTCCGTCAAGTCAGGAACATCTTTGACAGGGTAGTCATGTCGACGTGTGTCCAAACGCTCTCCTGCCTGCCTCCGAAGTCACAGCTTTCCTTGCAGCGGACCTCGCGCCGCCGAATCGGGCGTTCCAGGATTTCTGCACCTGCAAGTTGTCCCCAGTGAGTGGGTCGAAGTACCGTGCGAAGACGTAGTCGTTGTCCGAACCATCAATCGTGACCTGGATGATTCTCGCCAGCGTAGGACCCGTTGGTTTTGCCGCAGCGGTGGCCGCAGGCGGCGGCCATGAATCGTGTTTGGCTCTTTTGCGTTCGTGCTCCAGGTGGGCGGCCACCCACACAAGCACCCCAGCGTCCACATCAGCACGGATGCGGACAGATCCAGCCGGCCTCAATCCAACAACGCAGCTGTCCTTGTCCAGCTTCTTGGCTCGGGCGTCCACATGGAGGTGTTCAGAGGGAGATAGTCTGTTTTCCGCACTTGTTGGGCTTCAAGGTCCTGAAGCATCATCGGCCGCTCCCGTTGCGCTGAGCCCTGCGGGTTGCACCGGCTTGTTGTCTGAGCAAAGTACCCAGATGTGTCCAGCATGATCGCGCGAGCGGCAGTGGCAGCCATCTTCTGGCCAGGTTGGAGTGCCATGGGCGCATGTCCGGGACCCGAGGCGGAAGAAGAGGCAGACACCTAGGCAACCCGAAGCATCCCAGCTCGAATCTGATCATTGGCGAATTTACGAACAGAAGTACCAAACAAACGACCCATGAAGTATGAGAGCTTGTTGTGGCCAAGTGTCTCGGTGAACGCGTCTGCGATGTTCTCATCGCCTCAAGTGTGTTCAGGAGCGATGCCGCGCTCCTGCATAGAATCAACAAAAATACGTCGCCAAGGTTCCTAAGAAGCTCCAGCTCCTGGCTGAACTCTGCCCTGATGGCGAGCTCAACGGCTTGGTTGTCCATGCGGCCGCGAGCATCCACAGGCGTCGGCCCGGTGTACTCGTTGTCTTTGCCCATGCTTTTGGCGGCATTACCCTTGTCACCCTCACCTGTGACGGCTCCGTCAATGACCTTTGGAGGTGCAGGGGAAGCAGGAGTTGCGTCTGAGGCGAGACCAACCCATTCGCCCGTTTCCCGGCAGGCCACGTCGAAGATTGCATCCGGGTCGCTAGGATTGGTAAGAGACACCATTTCGAAAGCGATTTGGTGTCCTTTGTTTGGTTGGTGTGGAGCCCAGTGGTTCTCGTGCTTGAACTTCCAGGTGCGGAGTGCGTGCTGGAGCTGGGTTTTGTCGGTCGCAGGGGTCGGTTCCGAAAATTTGTCGCTTAGGGCTGCCGCGTGGGGAGCCCTGGATGCCACAATGATTTCGACAAACGCTCAAGCATGGAGATGCTGTCGGCGCTGTCGGCCGACCGTAGATATGGGCTTCAGTCTTCCTCGGCAAGGTCAGACAACTTGCACGCGAGATCCTTATTAACTTTTTGCAAATCCTGGATTGCTTCGGACCAGACTCGTGTCAAAGTTCAGGTTGGCAAGCATTTGGCGGATCGATTCGGCGAACACGTCCGTATGCAGGCCGCACCAATTCGCCAACCGATTGTGTACCCATTGGCGCCCACTCTTTACTATTGGTTGGGTTCGTGGTGCTTTTAGCAGTGACTGCAATGGTTTCTTGCTTCCGCTGCTGTTTGTTTGAATGGGGCATTTGGCCGCGGCTAAGTTTTCAGCCATCTTGCACATAGAATCGCACTGACTTCCGACGGCGTACCTGGAGTGTACGGGCCCGGAAGGGGATTCGCCACGAGACGGCAGGTTTCGATTGAAAGCCAGGTCTCTTTGTCTTCCAGCGGCTGTCGGACGTGGTAGTGGCAGGCATCGTCACGGTTGCCGGCACCTGGAAGGCTCGAAACACCTGCCGAGGTGGGAACTCTATTGGAAAATGTGCTCGTGTCCGGATCGACTAGGTCATCGTCACCTGGGACTGGATTGTCCATCCATGTTGGCATCAAAGTGCGCACTAACACGGATGAGAGAAAGCCCGAGTGATCAGGGGATGGGGCGGGGATGGGGGGCAAACGCGCGGGGCTTTTCTGTTGCGGAATGCCCAGCTCTTTCTCCGCAGGAGGCCGAGAGGGAGGAGAATAAGGAGGAGGAAGAAATTGAAGGCGGAGTAGGAGGACGATGACGGAGAAGTAGCGTGGAATTGGTAAGGAGAGGAGGGTTGATGAGGAGGAGGAAGAGGAGGAGGAGAAGGAGGAGAAGGAGGAGGGAGGGAGGGAGGGAGGGAGGGAGGAAAGGAGAGAGGGAGGGAGGGAGAGAGGGAGGGAGGAGGAGGAGGAGGAGGAGGAGGAGAAGAGCATGACAACGGGGTGTACATGATGTGGATGGGTTAGCTGGGAGGTGGACGAGAAGGTTTAACAGGGAACATGGCAAAGCGAGAGGGTGCAGGCAGAAGTGTAGGAAGAGGGAGAGCCAGAGGAAGTGGATAGGGAGGTGGGAGTTTGCGGGGGAGGAGGAGGAGGAGGAGGAGGAGAAGGAGGAGGAGGAGGAGCAAGAGGAGGAGGAGGGAGTGGCGGGGAGAAGCAGACGGAGTTGGAGAAGGGAGGTGGGGCAGTGGGGAAGGGAGGGGGGGAGGAGATGGGGATTGGGAGAGGGTAGTGCGGACGGGTCGGGGGAGTGCACAATCCCTGAAGGACGGCTTCGGGTACTGGTACAACGCCGGCCGTGGCACGAGCAGCGCAACTTGCAAGGGCGATTGTTGGTGCTGCCACCGCGACCTGAGGAAAGTCCCCGAGAAGCGTGCCTGGGCGCTCGAGACAACGGGCGCTTCCTGCAAGAATTGGAAACAAATCCAGATGTTTCGGACTACGACGGTCGACGACCCGACCGTCTGCGGCCAGCTGTGCCAGGCGCACCAAGGGTGCGTGGAGTTCGCCTACCTGTCGAACGACACCTGCTCGGAAGTTGGCGTGACGAAAAAGGGGTCTTGCATGCTGTTTTTCGGGGCGTGCGACAGGAAGCCCAGCTCCTGTTGGGACCTCTACTCCATGCACGAGGCGAGCGGTAGCGAGGTGGAGCAACCGCTCCCTAAACTCAAACAGTCCGCCGTTACAACGACCCGGACACGGACCTCAACGACCACGTCGACCCGAACACGGACTACAACCGAGGGAGCAGCGCGAAATTTGATAGTGGGCGTGTCCGACCCCATGATGTTGCCTCACACAGCGGTAGACGAGAACCTCCACTCTCTGGCTGGGCAGCTTGCTTGTGCGACCCCCCCTGCGGGTTACCCGGGGGACGATGCCCGTGCCCAATGTTTGCGTGCGAATTTGTTGAAGGACGGGCACAACTACGTGCACAACAGTGCGAGGGGAACTGGAACTTCCTGCGGAGATTGCGACTGCTGCAGGAGGGACACGACAGCAGTGCCGAAGACAAAGTCCTACATGTTGAAGGCCGATGGCACCTCGTGCAAGAACTGGGCCCAGATCAAGATGTTTCGATCAGTTGAAGTGAACCATTCCTCAGTATGTGGCAAGTTATGTGCCTCCAACAGGGGTTGCGTCCAGTTTGCCTACCTAGGGGCGGACTCATGCTCAGAGGCTGGCATATCCAAGAAGGGGTCGTGCATGTTGTTCGCTGGTGATTGCGAGGTGCAGAACAGTTCTTGCTGGTCCCTCTACGCGATGCAGACGAAGGAGCCAAACTGGCAGCCGCTTCTGGATGCTGCCTCGGAATCCACGGGCCTGCACCAGCAGCGCCAGACGGCACTGCGGGCAGCGTCGCGGTCTACCGAGGGAGGATGCACCACCCCGACCTCCTGAACTCGCGTTCCCCAAACCGCCCTGCTCGTTGGTCAGTCCCGCTCGATTTTACCCCTGGGGAACATCCAGTTATTGACTGGGTCTCGGCTGCAGGGATGCTCCCTGTCATCGGGCCCGATCTGCGGGCGGGCCCTGCCACCTCGGGGGTTACCCGCGGGGGCGCGAAGAGCATCGCACTTCGCGCGCCGCGGCCTGGGCCGGAAAGTCGCCGCCCTCCCGTGCTTTTGGCGCACGGACCACAAGAGACCTGGGCCTTCTCGGGCGCCCTCTGCGGCCAGTCCCAACCGTGCCCAGGCGTCCAGCGTCGTGCTCTTGTCAGGACGTGGCTCCTCAGAGGTCTGGATCCAGACATGTGAGGGGCCCCTGCCGGGCCCCGGGACCGTGGCCAAAACGACTCGCGATGAAAAGCCCGCCTTGGGGAAGGGGTCGGGACCTCGGGGACCGCGCATTGAATAGAGTCAGGATATTATATATCTGGGTCTGGACGCGTTCCCGGGAGTCGGCTTTCCGTCCCGAGCTTTCTTCCAACGGCCACGGGGTTGGCAGGGCCCACCAGAGGCCGAAAACGGCCGAACCCCTTTTGTCCCGCCCAATTCAAAACACCAGGAGGTCAGGGATCACCGACCGCGGCCGCCAGACCGGGCCAGGCCCCCAGCTCAGGGGCAACGATAAGGGGGGCATAGGCATTAGGGGGGGGGAATGCTTCGACCCCTAATCGCCCAATGATGGCCGATTGGGAGTCTGATAGCCCCACCCAGCCCAGGAAGGTGCGGTTTCGCCATCGGAGGCCGATCGCCGATCTGTTGGCGATGTATCGCCGATTCCAGGTCGATGCATCCCCCCTTCTACCAGTCCCCCCCCTTTCGTTGCCCCTCACCAGTCGTGTTTTGTCGGCCCTGGTGCCCGGCAAGAGCCACCCGGAGGCTGAGGTCGCATTTCGTCGTTACTTGTGTCGCAGCGCTTCAGCGTCCGGCCTGCAGCCCACCCCTGGGGGCGGGGGGCGCCCTCGGAGCTCGTCCTTGAAGGCCATGTCGGAGGAGCCTCCGTTTCTTCTGTGTTCTCGTCCTCGGGCTTTCCAGTGCGCGGTCCCCTCGAGTTCCGCCCCTGGGGCCTGGTCAGGGCCCCCAGAGGCCGAACCTTCCGAAAAGTGTCCGTCCTGATTTTTGTCAGGACGTCACAGGGAGGTCAGGCCCCCCCGAGGTCTGGCGCAGGGCCCAGCCATTGGCTCGTCGTCGCGGCCTGCCCGCTGCTGGCGGCCCTCGCGGGCGCGGCGGTGGTGGCCGTCCGCATCGCCAAGGGCCGGCAGGCGAGCCCGGGCAGGGCAGCGCCCAGCGCCCTGGGCTTCCTGGACCTCCACGGCCGCTGGGGGGCGAGCCGAATCGATCTGCGACCGTTTCCCATGCTCGGGATCGTGTCGCCCATTCCTGTCCCCATCCCCATCCCCATCCCCACCATCCCCACCATCCCACCAACCCTGGGGAGATGCCCCTGGAAGCCCGAAGGGGACAGCCTATGTCCCCATCTAGTGGGGTGAATGGGGCAGTGAGGCCCAGGCCACGCTGGTGGGGATAGGGACTGACAAACATCAGGACGGATGTCTTTCTCAATATTCGGTGCCCTTCCTGGCCCCGTGGGCAGTTAAAAACGACTTGGTCGGGATGGGCAACCCGCCCTGGGGAAAGTGCCGGGATTTCTGGGATCGCGAACTGAAACAATCAGGACGTCGCATGTCTGGGCTACGAACCCTACGCTGCGGGTCCACTCGACTCTGGGGTATCCGACACCCACGCTGGGGGTCACCTGGCTGCAGACATCCTTTGAATTCTGAACCCCGGCCGGCGCTTCAAGAGTCTAGCCTGCAGGGCCTGCAGGGGTAAGTTCCAGCTGTGCTTGCCTAGTCGGAGCAGAAAGACATGCATGAACATCTATTGTCGGAGCTCCGCGCGAAATTTCTGGAACTGCACTGGGCCCCCATGGTGGCGTCTCCTGCGCCGCCGCCTAAGCGCGCTCCGCGCGCCAGGGAGGGGGGGCCCGGCACCGACCCAAGAAATCCGCGCGCACTTCCGACATTTTTTATTATTATGACGTTTGTTTCTCCTATCGAAGACTGGGTCGGACGAAGGGGGGATAGTCAGGACCAGCGTTATGGGAAATAGGTTCAGGGGAGGTTGCATCGACCCCGAATCCCCAATCCATTTCCGACAGGGGCCAGATAGCCCTCCCCGTACAGAAAAGTACGGGTCGCCGAATCTTGCTCGATTTGTTGCCATTCTTATCATGTTCCGAGATCGGGGAAGGGGAGTTGCAACATCTTCTGCACGCAGCTGGTTTCGGGCCCGCCGCCAGGCGCTTTCCTCGAAAAACTGGCGCCTCCGGCGCTGGGAATAATCAGCTACGTGAGCTGATACGCTAACCCCTCTACTATCCTCCCCTTTCGTCCGACCCAGGAAGAGGGGGTGGGGATTCTGCATGATCGGAGGCAGAGTTGCGTACATTCCTGGTGCAAGGGACGTTTCGTTTTTCCGCCAGAGCGTTCATCGGTCAAATGTGTGTATACGTAGTGAGATGACAATGAGCTCGCTGAAAGCCACAACACATTCTCACCCATCCCTCCACTCCAGCACAGAAACGTCACTGGAGAAGCTCGGGCGTTTCGTCGGGGGTGGGGGTCGAAAAATAGAGGGGGCAACGGATCGAGGGTTGCAGGAGAGGGGCCCCGACGGGGGGGCCCCCCCTGGGCCCCGAAGGCGTACGGAAGGTGCACCTGTCTGATTTCCCCCCTCCGCTCGTTGCCTCCCCCGTTGCAAGCAGCGTCCGAGGAATTGGGATGAACGGGCTCCCGGCGGGGTGCGGACACCACGACCAGGGCCACAAACCTCGAAGGTTCGACGGCCCCCTTTCTCAACACGTCCCCCTGCCACACCCTTCCTCGTCCGTGCACGTGCGTCAGGCCATGGTGCGCACACCCCCCTCCTCCTAGGTCCTAGGTCCAGCATGGCATCAGGATGTGAGCCCGTCCTGTCTGGCTGATGCGCTGGGGGGGGATTGCGCTGAGGGGAGGCTGCAGCACCGCTCAACGATGTGCTGACAACCAATCGAACCTGCAGGGTGGGCCCTTACCGGTTCTCTGTGCACTTCAGGGTTTGGCGTCGGCTTCGGCTGTGGGTGCGCCTTGAAGAGCCTTCGGGCCAGCTCACCCGAGTCGGTTTGCCGCTCGCACCCAGGCATCCGATGTCTTGATTTTCTCATTGCGCAGTCCTTCAGAGGTCTCGATCAATTCCCAGTGGCTGGTGATTCATCCCCAGCGGTTTTTTGACGGGCCTTCCCCGGCGAGGGCTTCAAGGGGCCGAAGACGGTGAAACGCCTCCGTCTTTAATTTTGTTTCAGCACGTTGGATCTCAGGGCACGGGTGCATGCCTCCCTCGCTTCCCTCCACCTGGTTCCCTTCCTCGGCGCACGCGAGGCTGCTGCAGCCCGCAGTCCAGGGCGCAGCTGCTGGCGTCGCCCTCGGACCGCTGGCTCTCCGGTTTCCCCGTGGATCGGGGTTGTCGAGGCTCGAGGCTTTGGGGCCCAGGCGCCGTTGGGCGTCATCGACGTGACGGCTGGACTCACTTCGAAGTTCTAGGCAAAATTCGAGGAAGACACAAAAACATAAAGACAAACTTTCGGAGGTCCGCGCGGATTTTGATGGATCGGCGCTGGCTCACCCTTCCTGACGTGCGGAGCGCGCCAGGGGCGGCGCCAGAGGCGCCGCCAGGAGGCTCCAGCGCCGAAACACTAAATCATTACGAACTTCCGGAACTTTCTGTGTTTATGTCATGCTTTCTTCCCGAAAAACGCGCCCTTGGACAGATCGAGAGGCCGATCCCAGACACCCAGGCCCGTCGCGTCGTGACAAAATCACGACGGAGGGTTCCTGACAGATTTCGGCCCCAGGGGGGCCTTCGCCGAGCCCAAGGACCGTCAAACACCGACTCGGGATAAAAGTCCGGTCCCGGGGAATGGCAGACCTCTGAGGGCCCACGTCACGAAACAACATTTCGTTGGGGGTCTGGGATCTTGAAGGGAGAATCTGGGAGGGAAATTCGAGGATCCCGGAGGAAGGAGAAGCGACACCCTGGCACTGCTTACTGCCCATGGCCTTGGCCTCGGTGGCGTTGACCTCGTCCGCTGCCTTTTTGTTCTGGGCCTCCTCCTTCGCAGCCGACAGACGCCCGACCGTCCGCTGGATCTCCTCCTCGGCTGCCGCCGTGACCTCAGCAGCGGCTGGCTCCGCGGCCGGCGGGTCCGCACCTGCCTCGCCCGCCGCGGTTGCTGCCGGAGAGCCGCTCCCACCAGGGCCTGCGCCACTCGCCGCCATCAGCTGCAAGCGCAGGCTCTGCCGCTGTGCGCTTCTTGGCGAGGCGCTCGTTGACAGCAGCACGAGCTGCAGCCGCTTTGGAGAGCATGGTATCGATCTCGGCCTCCTTAGATGAAAAAAAACATGCCCTGGAGCTTCTCCAGGTCGACCTTCACCTGCTTCTAGTCGTTCCTCTCGTGCTCCTCGCGCTCGATGTCGTCGATGCCCTCGAAGAGTGCCGCGTCCCAGGAGAGCTGGAACTTGGAAGCGCGGTCCTGCTCTGACCCCTGCTGGGGTGGAGAAGCTGGAACCTGCTCTCCGACACCTTCAGCAGGCGCCAATGCCTGAGCAGCCGCGCTTGGATCGCTTTGCTTGCGCAAGCACCACTGCTGCCGCCTTCTCGCGCTCGACGGCCACCGCCAGGCTCTCCTCGAGCCTGATGACGTCGGCGACCGCCTGCGAGTGCTTGTGATCCGCATCCTTCCACGCACCCACGGTGCGCTTCACAGCCTCGCCAGGGGCCTCGCCAGGGTTTCCCTTCTCGACAGGGGGCGCGTCGAACTTGCCCGCTTGCTCTCGAAGGGTCACCTGGAGCTGCTCGTCCTGCGCCTCTTGCAAAGCCAACTTGAGGAGTGATGAGACATCCTCGGGGAACCCGTCGCCGCCGTTGTCCTTGCCGCCACCTCCTCCATTGCCTCCCGCACCGCCGTCCTGCTGGTTGGCGGATGTGGAGGTCCCTGTCCGAAGTTCGTACATTTTCACATTCCTGGAGCAAAGCTGGCACTTGCAACTGGCGAGTAGGCGGTCGCTGTACTCGAAACGCCCGCACCCTGCGCACTGCGACCATGGACGAGAGACTGCTGCCACGATGAGACTTCTGCTTCGGTCGACGCCAGCAGCCGCTCTCTGGAGCAGCCTGGGCGCAGTGCCTCCTCAAGCACGTCGTGCAGACACAGATGTCGGGCTCGCCACAATGGTTTGAGCCCAAGTTGCTTGAGAGGACTCGTGGTGGAGCAGGAGGGGCCGGAGAAGGAGGAGGAGGAGGAGGAGGAGGAGGAGGAGGAGGAGCAGAAGCAGGAGGAGGAGGAGGAGGAGGAGGAGGAGGAGAGGGTGGGGGGAGGAGGAGGAGGAGGAGGAGGAGGAGGAGGAGGAGGAGGAGGAGGAGGAGGAGGTTGAGGACGAGGACGAGGAGGAGGAGGAGGAGGAGGAGGAGGTGGAGGATGGGAGGAGGAGGCGGAGGAGGAGGAGGAGGAGGAGGAGGAGGACGACGAGTTGGAGGAGGAGGAGGAGGAGGAGAAGGATTTTGGAGGAGGAGGAGGAGGAGGAGGAGGAGGAGGAGGAAGAGAGAGGAGTAGGAGGAGGAGGGTGAGGAGGAGGAGGAGGAGGAGGAGGAGGAGGACGAGGGCTCCAGTTCCCAGTAAACAGGGAAGTCCGCGGTCACGAGTCAAAAGGAGGAGGCTGGCAGGAGAAGGGAGGGGAGGGCAAGATGCAGGATGAGGAGGAGGACCAGGCCGCGGATGTGCTCAGACCCAGGGGCGGATGGCATCCGAGGCCATGTCCCCCGAGAGGCCGCTGCGAGGGCGGGGCCCAGCTGGCGCCTTCGAGGAGTGATTCCTCAGGGCGACGTGCGGTCGTGCGCCTCCTCCTCCTCCCCGTCAGCTCAGGGGCAACAGTAGGGGTGGATGGGCTCAAGGGAGGGGCATCGACCCCCAAGACCCCATTCATCACCGACACGTACGGGCCCGATGGCCAACCCCGCCCTGGCTGGTTCTAATTCGCCATCGGGGGCCCATCGCCGATCTATCGTCGATGTATCGCCGATTCCAATTCGATCTTTCTCCCCCCCTGAGATGTTCCCCCCTGGCGTTGCCCCTCACACCCTTCCCTCCCTCCCTCTCCCCTTCTCCTGCTTCTCCCTGCTCGCTCCTGCTCCTCCTGCTCCTCCTGCTCCCCCCCCCTCCTCCTGCTTCCTCCCTCCCTGCTCCCCTCCTCGCTCCCTCCCCCCTCCTCGCTCCTCCCTCTGCTCCCTCCGCCCTGCCCTCCGCGCCCTGCGTGCAGGCCGGCGCCCTCCGCGGGCGGGGCCGGCCGGCTGCGCCGCCCGGCCGCACCGCCGCGGGCGTTTTGCGCTGGCCAGCTAGGGGGCCACGTGCGAACCCTACCCCTGCCCCCCACGATTTCTGAGGGGGAGGGTGGGGTTCACTTCGCTCGGGAGCTCCCGAGCGAAGTGAACCCCACCCTCCCCCTCAGAAACCGTGGGGGGTAGGGGTAGGGTTCGCACGTGGCCCCCTACCAGCGCGGGCATTTCACGCGGGCTGGACGGCAACCCGTGGCCCCACACCAGGGGTCCAGGGCTGGGGCGGGGGGCAGCGCAAACGAGGGTCAGCCAGAGCGCCGGATCGTGCAGGATCTTGCAGAGCCAGGGGTGCATGGACCCGGGCTTGCGTGCAGGATCGGGCAGGCTTCTGCAGGATCTGAAAAGCCCGACCGACCTAGGTCTGCATTGACCCGGGTCAGTAGATCCCCAAATGTGGGCAGGACGGCAACCATGGGGCCCAGACCCCCTCCGGTCATGGAAAAATCTAGCCGGACAGTTTTTCACCTTTTTCGGCTTTTGGGGACCCTCGCCAGGCCCCGGAACCGCCAGAAAGGGAATCGGGATGAAAGTCTGGTTCTCGAGAATGGATCAATAATTCTGGCGGTCGACGTTCCTAAGCAAACAAGACGTAGGGGGTCTGGGGAGAAGACGGCGAAACGTTCGGGGGAGGGTCGGGGCAAATATTCGGCGTCGAGGGTAGTAGCGGCCCGGCTGAGGGGCCTACACTTGCTTTCCTTCCGAGAAGCCTCCAGGTGCCTTCCAAGAAGCAAGCCCCTCTAGGATTGGCCCCTCCTCCCTCGTCGCACTCCGTCAGCCTCAGATACTTGGCCACCATATCGGGCCCCTCGTTGGCGCATGCTCCGCAGACGCACCAGACAAAGTGCTACAATATTAGATCGCTCGATTATGGCACTTTGGAGCGCATGGTGGCTGCACTTCCTGTGCGCTGTGATGTAACCCGACTGTCCCGTTTGTTTGCTGCCCTCTGTTGGTCTCCGCCCGAGAATTCCGAATTTTGCATTCGGATCGTGTTGGCGCGCAACATTTGCAGTTGCCAATTGTCCGCGTTTTTTTGTAATTCGTCGCCCAGTCAACTGCAACTTGACCTTGCATGGGCACGCAGACTGTGGAGGGTGGGGACGACGAGGCGGAGGACGAGGAGGAGGATCTTGGAATTCTTTGAATGTAGAGCACCAGTGCACGTTGACCGCAGGAATGAATATTGAATCCTGGAATTCTTCAATGCATGTTGATGGTACGGATCGCACCTGGCTGCGCATCTGCGAGGACAAGCTGGGCGTGCTCCCCCGCTCCATTGTCTCCCGCCTCCCTCCCCCCTCTTCCTCCCGAGACGGGAACAACGGCATGCACATACACTTTTGGAGGTCCGCGCGGATTTCTTGGACCTGCGTTGATGGCCTCCCTGGAGGCGCCCCCAGCGCCGCGCCTGGCGCGCCGCCTCGCGGGCCCAGCGCCGATCCCAGAAGTTTTTGCAGAGTTCTCAAAGTCTACGCTTAAGCAGTTGTTCCTTCTTCTATCCTTCTCCCCCTCCTACTTCCCCCGACTTGTCTGGCATGTCCTGGGGGGGCCTGTGCTCAGGGGAGGCTGCAGCTCCGCTGCACACGATGTGCTGCTGTTCAACCAGGAGGGGGGTGGGTCATCTTAGGGTGACGTGTGCTTACTGAGCCAACGGGCCAAGAATTCAGAATCAGGTGCCTTGCCGTGGGCGCTTCAAGGGGGTGGGCCCTCACGGCGAGCGGCACCCAGGAGTCAAGGAAACGCCATCCTCGGGTTGGGGCCCGGGGGGCGGATGGGTGCCCGGAGCGAGACGCGCGCAGGGATCACTGGGGGCGCCCTCTCTGCGCCCCGCCCCGGGCCATGGGGGCCGGTGAGTCCCCGTGGCGAGCGTCGTCCAGGAACCAAGGGACGCCATGCAGTTAACCCGCGCAGTAAGGAGATGGGCAACGTCCTGAGGTTTGGGCAGCGTCCTGAGGTTACCCTTGCATCTCCTTGCCCTTCGGCCCATGCCTGGTCGCTCTCGCTGGCCGCGCCCCCGCTCTCAAAGTGCCGGCATGGCCTTCCAAGGCCCTTGCGCCCCTGCCGCGCATCCTTCTGGATCGGCCGTATGCGGGCTGGGGCCCAGGGCGCGGGCGGATCGCCGAGGCGAGCGGCGCCCGGGAGTCCAGGGTCGCCATCTCCGGGCCAAGGCCTTGGCGCTGCGGCTGTTTTGCTATTGGGCCGTGGGTCGCCCACGAGTCACGGGGGGCTGCCATGGCCGAAATGGCTGATCTTCGCTCTCCGGAGTCGAAGGTGGGTTGGTGGGAATGGGGCCGCGTGGCGCCCACAAGTCACCGGGGCCGCCACAACACAACCCTTGGGGCTTGGCGCTGCCGAACCGAAGGTTTTTTGTCATGGCTCCGCGGCGCGCCTGCAAGGCACGGGGCGGCCGCCATGACAAGCATCCTGGTTTGGGGCGCTGCGAACCGAGGGTGGGCCCTTTCTCGAGTCCGTGCTTCGGTGCGGATCGTCTGCGCGCCTCGTCTCCGTCGTCGTTGTCGGCGTCGTCGTAGTTTCCCTTGTGCAGTGACCACCACCACCGCCTCTCCCTTCATCAGCCGCCCTCGCACGCGCGTATCTTTGATGCGTGCGCCCGTCACGGCAGGGCGGGTGGGGCCGCCAACGTCCGCCGCCGCGGGGGTGCGCCCGTCAAGCCGCGGCCAGAGACCACCTGGGGCTGGCGAGGGGGCACGCAATGCAACGCGAGATGGGCCCAGGGCCGGTCCTGAAGCAGCACACGGGAACAAGCATGCACGTCGACAGAACCTTTGGAACATCGCCGAGAAACAAAAACTCAGGAACGCAGAGTAGCGATGCAGGAATCAATCAGTCCGTCCATCGCTGCCTTGGCCTCCCGGGCCGCCGATGAGGGACGGCCGGGAGGAGAGCACCGCGAGTTCCCGCTGGAACTCGAGGCAAGACACCCAGGGAGCACTGGCGCACGCTGGGCCTGGCGACCGAGGTATGCAGTCGTCATTCGCCGAAGGCACGGGGTGGGATGCCCAGGGAGCACTGGCACACTTTGAGCCTGGCGGCCGCGGTGTGTGCGCGAGGCGGGTCGGGATCCAACTTAACAGCTCCCACCAGCCGGTTGGGTAAAGCTACCCACCTTGCCGGTGAAACATTGACGCGCGCACGCTGTCCAGAAGCGCACCATAATCTACGAAGATAATCCCCAACGCTGCCAGCACTCACTGGGGCTGGCGTGATGTCCTGACGAGGTGGGATGTGTTGTTAACCATGGTTGGCATTGCAGCAAGAACACGATTTGAACAAAAAGCGACACAATGAATGAGGTCCGCGCTGCAGCGGGCACATGATGTGGAAGGACTGAGAACGGGACAATGGAGCCAATGCATTATCGGGAGCGCCTTTCTTAAAGGACCCAAGATTTTCGGATTGTAAGCTTACAATAATTCGCAATTCGGCGGTATCCGGTGTTTAGAACAACAATAGGTGGAGGAGGCCAGGACACCTCACCAGCCCAGCGTCTCCAGGGAGAGAGGAGAGTATTGTTCATGTTGTGTAATTGGTAAGTGCGCTCGCGCCATATCTGACTTCCGACCCCTCCCACCCATCCCTTTCCCACTGAACTGAATGTTTCTCTGTCCACGGACATGTATTGCAGTGGACCTGCAACTCCCAAAACAGCCCCACCGTGTCATGTGCATTATAAACACTTGGAGCGACGCACACAGGAGGAAGGGGATGGGGAGGAGGAGGGGGAGGAGGAGGAAGAGGAGGTGGCCGATGAGCAGGAGGAGGAGCATGAAGAAAAGGACGATGATGCGAAAAGATAGGGAAGCGAGTAAGAACAGCATCAGCGGGAACCTGGAGTGAAAGGAGCGGGATGAGCAGGAGGACGAGGGCAAGGCGGAGGTGGGGAGAAAGAGGGGGGCGACAGGGAGGGGGATTGGTTTGGGAGGGGGCCGTCAAGGATCGGCCGTAATTCGGCCAGGACATGTTGGCGGAAGTACAATTCAGTCGGGCCTGTCCCGCTAAAGGGGGAAAATTCTAAAATACTCAAACATAGTAAGGGGCGATGTGTGGAGTATTTGTTTGACAAGTCTGCCGTATGTTTTGACTATGCTTGATTTGTCGCTCAAAATCCGCCTGTAGGCGGACAGGCCCGACCTACAAGTGCAACGAAGTCGGCTCCGTCAGCGGAATTGGGCCGAAGGCGGAGGAAGTGAAAGTCCATTTCTCAAGAGGCGGCAGTTGTCTTGGATCCAGGGTTCTGGAATTGCTCATCGCTCATGTCGGAAGCAACACGTGTTATCGTGTTGTACGTGGTTCCGTTCTTTTCGGCCTTTTTTTGGGGTTGCTTTGCTTTCCTTGGGAGGTTGAATTCAGCACCGGCCCCAGCATTTTTGATCGAAATCCAGACTTTCTGGTTTTTGGTTTAATAGACTTCGATTTGGCGTCATTTGTCGTAATGGCCACGTAGTCGTGGTGACGATATTTTGTCAATCGTGCCCGCGAAAACCTTCGAGGAGTTGACTGTGCGTCCAGTCGGTACCCCTGCTGCTGCCCCCCCCCTCCCGCGGCGTCAGTAAAGGCAAGGCGTTGATGAAACATTTGGTCTGCCCTGTATTTATATCCATGCCCCCACTCCAGCCCCTCGTATAGTTCCTTGTTTTGGCGTAAGCACGGACATGTATACTAGGATGCGAACTCCGTGAGGGGTAGATTCAGTTTAGGATCGTTGGTATATTGATGGTGGAAAGTTGGTCTTTTCTGGCATCATGGCCGTTGAATGCCGACTCAATCCTGTTTTATTCGGCGTATACCCACGCTGAATCCTGTCTTATCTGGCTCACTGACCCGTCGATCGGGTTTAGTAGCCCATAGCCGTTCTTACGAAGACTTTCCAGGAGTTGTCTCCTATGGCATATAGAGCGTGGATCATGTATACTGGAGTCTCAGCCTCCTCTTCCTCCTCCCCCTGGAGGCTCGGTCGTCACGAGCTTGAGCCCACGCTCCGCAACCTGCAGCCAGACCTGTCGAAACCGCAGCTGGACGCGCTCTTCGGGCGCTTCGACCAGAACGGCAACGGCCAGGCTTTTCCGACCCGTTCTGGCAGAAGAGGGCACGGCATGAACATAATGTTTAGGAGCTCGGCGAAGTATTCATTGATCTGCTCTGGCCACCCTTGACAGCGCCTCGGGCGCCGCCCCTGACGCGCTCCACGCGCCAGAGAGGGGGTCCAGCGCCGATCCAAGAAATGAAATCCGCGCGGACCTCCGAAAGTTGATGTTTATGCAGTTGCTTGTTATTGCATTCTCCCCATACAGGAGGCACATCGAACAAGAGATTGCTTCGCCAGAAGGTGCCCCACGAAACTCTGGGCTCTGGGGCACCTTGGGACCCTCAAAGATCGATGAAGAATGTGGCCCAAGATTCCTTGCCTCCCGTCTGCTCCTTTCCGCTTGCCCGCCCGCCGCTCCGTCTCACAGACCCTGGCCTTACGCCTGTGTGGTCGCCGTCGTCTTCTTGCTGTTCGTTCATGTTCTGCCCCTCCGCTGCCGCGCAACTCATACTGCTGGGAGCCGGCGACGGACCCTCGTCGGATTCTCAAGCATCTTCTGCCCTTTTCTTGTCTCGCGGAGGCCCCCAGATGCCTCTGGAGGCCCCGCGGGGGCATGGCCAGGGGTGGTAAGGTGATCAGTTAGAGCAGAAATCGCACGATTTGTTGTCGTATGTGCCTCCAGTGGGGCGGTCTCCTGATGAGGTCCGGGCCTTCCGCGGACAGTCCAGCATTGTGGGCTGAACTGGCAGCCACCAGCCACCCCATGCCTTTGGAGGGAGCAAAATGTTGGGCATGCGCTTGCTCTTTTTTTCCCCCCTTGGGCTTGATTGGTTTTCAACCGCATGCCTGATGGTTGATTATTGCGTCACCCCGTCTCTCGGAGGAAGAGGCGACACCAGCACCACCAGCGAGGACAGGGGGCACCTCCAGCGAGCGGGTCCACGAAGCCTCCCCGAGCCGGGGAGAGGGGGATGTCTCGAGCGACCGAGCGGGGGACCACCCTCCGAGGCGCCTGGCGCTGGTGGTGGTGGTGTCGCCTTTCCGTGTTCCTAGCTTCTGCCATCTGACACGATGTTCCCTCTTCCCCCCTAACCCTTGTCACCCTCTCTCCCTCCCCCCTCCAGTTGCCCTCTGCACCTCCCCCCCCGTCCAACACCCTTCTCCCCCTTTCCCAATCGCCTCCTCCCCGATGCTCGACCCCCGACGCAGACCCAGAAGTTCTGAAGCCTTCGAGACGTAGGTTCCGACCGCGAGTTCGGACGCTTTCGGGTCCCAGAGTGGCTCTATTTTGCTAGCGCGGGGAGGGATGCTCGGAGGGAAGGGGGAAGTGGAAGCAAGGCTTATGGAGGGGGAGGAAAGCCCCCCCTCTTTCCCGTCCTCCTCCCCGCCTGCCTCCCCCAATTCCTCCCCCCTCCCGGACCGTCGCGCACTCGGGGAACGCTTGCTGTGCCCCTCCTGGGCAGCAACAGGCACGACGGGTCTCTCACCCCGCTTCGGGCTCCCAGGCACCTCTCAGACGTGCGCCTCGGCAAATTCCGAGGGCCCAGCGCTCTGGCCGCGTCGCCATCCAGATGCTTGCTCGCTGCGTCTGGAGCAGGAGACGGCCAGAGCGTCCAAGAGCACCCGGCGCTGGAGTGGCACTGGGCGTGAAGCCATGTCTTGCCGTGCCTGGGTCCAGAGGAGGAGGAGGAGGAGGAGGAGGAGGAGGAGGAGGAGCAGGAGGAGGAGGAGGAGGAGGAAGAGGACGAGCCGAGGCGGAGGCAAAGTTCACTCCAGCGTTGGGGCAAAGTCACACCCTCGTGGGCGACCCCTCGGCCAGGGCTCAGTCGTTGGCAAATGTCACTCCCAAGTGTTGGTCTGCGTGCCGGCGAACGCCCAGTGGCACCAGGCGTTGGCGTTGCGCCAAGGAAAATGGAGGCGCAGGAAGAGGATCGGGGGCAACGACAGGGGGGGGATAGGCATAAGGGGGGACTGCATCGGCCACCGTTTGCCCATTCATCGCCGATAGGGGCCCGATAGCCCCACCTTGCCCAGGAACGTGTGGATCTGCAATCGGGGACAATCGATCGATCGGCGATGTATCGCCGATTCCAGGTCGATTTGTTACCCCACTATGCCAGTCCCGTCCTTTTGCTTCCTCAGAGGGAAACTGGAGGACCAGAGTAGACCCCAGGGTATCCCAATATGCATTAGCCATGCTGCAGTACACTCTCTTTGCCCTATGAAATTCCGGAGGCCTCGCGCGGCGCACAATAGTTGTATTGCGAAGGCCTTACGACCTTCAATGACGACGTCGACGACGACGACGACGACGACGACGACGACGACGACGACGACAAGCACTCTCGGGTGCCTCTTGGGGGTGGTTTGGGGGCCTCTTGGGAGGCTCTTGGGGGCCGCTTTGGAGCCTCGTGGGGGCCTCTTGGGGCTTCCTGGGGGTCTCGTGTGGGCCTCTTGGGGCCTCTTGGGGGGCTTCTTAGGGGCCTCTCTTCTGGGAGCCTATCAGGCCGAGGGCTCGAAATGACCGTTCGGGTCCCTCGTCTGGGCTCCCTCTTGGAGCCGTCTTGGGGGCCTCTTCGGCTGGCTTGGAGGCCTCTTGGAGGCCTCTTGGGCCATCTTGGGGCGGTCTTGCGGTCTTGGGGGCCTCTTGGCCTGCCTTGGAGCTTCGGGAAGCTGACAAGGCAAGAACGCCGACATCTTTCAAAACCCTAAGGGATTTCGAAGATGTCTGCCCATTGGGGCCTTCTTGGGAGTCCTCTTGGAGGCCTCCCGGGGCGTTTTGGAAACATGTTGAGCCGTCTGGAGGCTACTTTGGCGACTTGGACCAGTGCTTCGGCGATTCGGGGCCCTCGAGCACCGTCTTGGGGGCATCTTGGGGCACGTTTGCTTTTTGGGGGCTTTTGCTTGGCCCCCGAACCACCCAGGGGGGTGTATCTGGGTGGCGACCCCCACAGGGGGGAGTCGAATCTGGGTGGCGACCACCCCGGGATCCCCCGGGAACCCCCCCGGGACCCCCCCCCCGGGGACCCCCCCCAGCCCCCCCCCCAGCGGTGCTTCCCTTCGGCTCAATTGCAAAGGGCCTAGGGAAAGGAGAGGGGCGGCGAAGGCGACGACGACGACGACAACGACCACGACGACGACGACGAGTTAAACAGAACAGCCTCTTCCACACGCCGACAGGGTCAGCGGATACCTTTTCCTATGAGATCTTGGAGGCCTCGTGTGGTGCACAAAAGTTGTATTATCTAGTCCGCCCCATCAGATCTAGGGTGACGTTCGCGCGGCGATGCTCCGACGTCCGGCGTACATTCGACGTGAACCCGACGTACATCCGACGCAATTGCGACGTGAGGCTGACGTACATCCGACGTGGATCCGACGTACGTCGGGCCCCAAGCTGCCGCGCGAGGCCTCCAGGATTTGTTTGATAACTCTCCCAAGGCACCCGCATCGCCAAGTCCCTGCTAGCATTCCTCACTCAGCGGCGGGCCCAGGGGAAAGTGAGAGGGGGCAGGTCTTCTCAGAAGGCTGCGGGCTTCTCAGAACCCCCCTGGCCTTCTGAGAAAGCTTCTCTTTTCGGAGGAGGCCTCCCGTGCCTTCTGAGAAGGCCCGCCCCCTCTGACTCCCTCCCTGGGCCCGCCGCCGACTCACGCGCGCCAGTGCCCAGCCGAGAGGTCGAGCTCCACGAGTTCTGCCGCGCGCTGGAGGCGCCCGCCCAGGCGCGCCAGGCGAACGCGCCGCCGCTGCACCAGCCGGCGGCGACGGTGCTCGGGCAGCCCGCGGCTTGGGAGCAGGAGCCGCGACGGAAAGGAAGACCAGGAGGAGGAGGAGGAGGAGGAGGAGGAGGAGGAGGAGGAAGAGGATGAGGAGGAGGAGAGGTAGAGGAGGAGGGGGGGGGAACGAGGACAAGGAGGAGGACGAGGACCAGGAAGAGGGGGAGGAGGAGAAGGAGGACGATAATGAGAACGAGGATGGCGGAGGAAGAGGAGGAGGAGGAGGAGGAGGAGGAGGAGGAGAAGCAGGAGCAGGAGCAGGAGCAGGAGCAGGAGGAGAAGCAGGAGCAGGAGCAGGGGACGCAGGAGGAGGAGGAGGACGAGGAGGAAGAGGACGAGGAGAATGAGGAGGAAGACGAGGAGGAGGAGGAGGAGGAGGAGGAGGAGGAGGAGGGGGAGGAGAACTAGGAGGAGGACGGGGCAGAGGAGGAGGAGAAGGAGGGGGAGGAGGAGGAAAGGTAGAGGAGGAGGAGGGGGAGGAGGACCAGGACCAAGAGATGATGATGATGATGATGATGATGATGATGATGATGATGATGATGATGATGATGATGATGATGATGATGATGATGATGATGATGATGATGATGATGATGATGATGGATGATGGTGATGTGATGGTGATGGTGTGGTGATGGTGATGATGGTGATGGTGATGGTGAGGAGGAGGAGGAGAGGAGAGGAGGAAAGGAGGCACAGGAGGAACAGGAGGAAAAGGAGTAGGAGGAGAAGGAGGAGAAGTAGGAGAGGAGAGTAGGAAGAAGAGGAGGAAGAGGAGAGGAAGAGGAGGAGGAGGAGGAGGAGGAGGAGAAGCTGGAGGAGGAGTAGGAAGAGGAAAATAACTGAGAACGCGGAGGAGAAGGAGGAGGAGAAGGAGGATGACGAGAGGAGGAGGAGGAGCAGAGGAGGAGGAGGAGGGAGGAGGAGGAGGAGGAGGAGGAGGAGGAGGGCGAGGAGGACGAGGAGGAAGAGGACGAGGAGGATGACTAGGTCAAGGAGGAGGAGAAGGACGAGGACAAGGAGGAGGAGGAGGAGGGGGAGGAGGGCCAAGGCCAGGAGGAGGAGGAGGAGAAGGATGACGAGGATGAGAAGGAGGACGAAAGTGAGAACGAGGCGGAGCAGGAGGAGGAAGAGGAAACGGACGAGGAGGAAGAGCACGAGCAGAAGAACGAGGAGGAGGAGGAGGAGGAGGAGGAGGAGGAGGTCGAGAGCGAGTAGGAGGACGGGGAGGAGGACGAGGAGGAAAACGAGGAGGAAAACGAGGAGGAGGAGGACGAGGCAGCAGGACGGGTTGTGGATCAGAGTTCTCAGGGATGATTATTGGGGTCTCTTGGGGGCCTCTTGGGGGCAGTTTTGGGGCCTCTTGGGTCCTCTTCGGGGCCTCTTGGGCCTCTTGGGGGCCTCCTGGGACCTCCTACCATCATGCAGAAGTTACACGCTGTCCTAGAGCTCGCACCCCACAGCAATTACGAGAATCGAGGGTCGAGACGGCCGCTGATCGACGCGACGATAGGGAGGAGGCTGTGGAGAAGATGGAGGACGAGGAGGAGGAGGAGCAGGAAGAGGAGGAGGGAGAGGGGGAGGGGGAGGAGGAGGAGGAGGAGGACGAGCAGGGCGGAAACGAGGAGGAGGACGACGACAAAGGGGAAGGAGGAGGACGAGCAGGAAAATGAGGAGGAGGGGGGAGAAGAAGAGGAGGAGAAGGGGGAGGCGCTCTGACGGGGGTTCGGGTCAGAGTCTCGCCAGGGATGATCTTGAGTTGTCGTCGGAGAGTTCAGAGCTGTCAGGGACATCCGGGGGGCCAGTTTGGAGCCTCGTGGGTGCCCTGCGGATGCCGTGGAAGCCCTTCGGAGTTCCTTGGGCGCATTTGGGGGTACGGGTTGGAGCTATCCGTTCTGGCTCCCCTGGAGGACCTTCTCGTGGAGCTTGCTGGGGGCCGAAGAGCGATTTCTTAGTCTGTGTCGTGTGCCAGAGGCGTGGTGGATTTGGAGAATGTGGTCCCTCCACAGCTTCCGTGGGCGTGCTTGTGGGGGCGTGTTGGGGTTCTCTTGAAGCTTCTTGGTGGCTTCATGGGGCCTTCACGGGTCTCGTGGTCTCTTGGGAGAGGGTCGCAATGTTTTAGAAAGGAGAAGCTAAGCTACTTTGTGCAACATATGTTGTGCATTCGATGCGGCGGCGACAAGCCGGCGACGGCGACTGCATAGCCGCCAGACGAAAAGTCAGGCCCGCAAAAAAAGGGCGGCAAAGGGGCGGCGACGGCGTTTACGTAGCCGCCAGACCAACCGTCAGGCCCAGACGACGGGCGGCGACGAGGCGGCGAAGCGGTGGCGACGGCGACTACGTAGCCGCCAAACCGACCGCCAGGCACGTTCCTCAGAAAACTCCCGGCGACGTACCCAACCCATCCGCGTTACATGACAAGACTGTTTGGTCCATGGCCGTATGGTTGATGACAAGCTGCATAGAAAGCGCGCGCGCTGCACGACGCACAGGGCAGCAACAGGAGGACGAGGACCAAGGCCCCAGGCTCGAAGAGGAAGGGGGGGCCGGAACAATGGGCAGGAAAACAAGACAGAAGAGGCCCAAGAACACAGCAGCAGCAGTCAGGCGGTGGAAGGAGGAAGAGGACGACAACGAAAGAGGAAGGGCCAGGAAGGAGGGCGGCGGTCATGTACCACTGGCGCGCTGGACAAGCAGCGCGGCCCGCGAGGCAGAGCTCGACCGCCAGGTTTTCCGCTTCCTTCCTGTAACGTGCAGCGCGATCTAAACGCCAGCATGACTCGGAACGATCTTCCGGCGGCTTGCGGGAAAAACTCATTAAGGCCAATCTGAGTTTGCGCACGTACTCGCTCCGCTGGACCCCCCAGCAGCCTTCAAGAGTGGCGGCAGTTATGCAGATCGCAGCCCCCCAGGGATAACAACCTCGAATCTAAATCTTAGCAGGACGTCACCATGCAGGACCCCCCAGCAGCCCTTGAAACTGGCGACAGCCTGGCATATCGCATCCCCTCAGGGATGGCCAGGTTCCATAAAAATCTGCGTAAGGCGTCGCTATGTTGGACCCGCGGCAACCCTCGAACGTGGCGACAGTCTCGCTGGCGAGGTCGACTTGGCATCTGCGTAGGACGCCACTACGATGGACCCCCAGTAGCTCTCGAAAGTAGCGACAGTCTCGCAGATCTGCAGCCCGCACTGAAAGTGAGGTCGAGTCTGAATATTCGCAGGGTGTCAATATGCTGGACGCCGCAGCAGCCCTCGAAAGTGGCGACAGTCTCGCAGACCGCACCCCCAAGCATGGTGAGTTCGAGTGTGTATTTGCGTGGGACGTCACTATGCTGGGCCTCCCCCGGCGGCCCTCGTAGACAGCACCCGCCCAGGGACGGTGAGGTGTTAGTATGGATCTGCTTAGGACGTCGCTGTGCTGGGCCCCCAGCAGCCTTCGAAAGTGAAAATTGTTCCGCAGACCGCAGCCCCCCCCCCCCCCAAGAAGGTGAGGTCGAATGTGAATAGTTGTACGACGTCACTATGCTGGACGCCGCAGCAGTCTTCGAAAATGGCGACCGTTTCGCAGATCGCAGCGGCCCCCCCGTCCCCCCATTGATGGTGAGGCCGAATCAGCATGTGCGTAGGACGCCACGCCAATATGCAGGACCAAACAGCAGCTTTCGAACGCGGCGACAGCTTCGCAATCTCAGCCCCCAGGGATGGTGAGGTCGAATCTGAGTGTGCGTAGGACGTCAATATGCTGGATCCCCCAGCAGCCATCGAGCGTTGCGACAGTTTCGCAGATCGCAGCATCCAAGGTATGGTGACGACGCTGCAAGGGGCAGGCAGGAGGGAAGAGTAGAGGAAGGAGGCGGGACGAACAAGACACGCGGGCAGTGCTCTATTCAAAACGAGACCCTAGCGCAGGAGGGATGGGAACAAGTCAGAATCCGTAAGTTCAAGCTTTATGTGGGGAGCCTGTGTGTGCCACAATTTTACATTCATGTGAATATATACTTTGTATCGCTCGGACATGTGCACGTTGTCTCGTCTGGGGCTATTGAAGAGCATCCTGGATCATCCCGCGAAAAAAAACACGCACGAAACCGAACAAGCACAGGGAATGGACGTCCGAGCGATGGCCAGTACACGTACACATACATATGGATGTGTGTGCGTGCGCGACGTCGGGTCTCAGGGTAACCCGAGTTGCCCATTGAGCGCAGACGGTCGGATCACGTGGAGGGTGGGAGTCGGGTGTTCTTTGCGGGGCGTGGGGGATGTCGAGTCGCGCTCGGGGCAGTCGGCTTTGGAGCGCGTGGGGGCGGCGCGGGAATGAAGTGTGTGTGTGTGTTGTGTGTTGTGTGTGTTGTGTGTGAGTGTGCGTGTGTGTGTGTGTGGTGTGTGTTGTGTGTGTTGTGCGTGATGTGTGTGCGTGTGCGAGAGAGGGTATTTGTGTGCTGTGTGTGGTGTATGTGTGTGTGTGTGTGTTGTGTTGTGTGTGAGGGTGCGTGCGTGTGTTGTCTGGGTTGTGTGTGCTGTGTGTGTTGTGTGTATTGTGTGTTATGTGTGTGAGTGTGTGTGTGTTGTGTGCGCTGTGTGTGAGTGTGTGTGTGTGAGTGTGTGCGTGTTATGCGTGTTGTGTGTGTGGGTGTGTGCGTGTGGTGTGTGTTGTACGTGGGTGTGGTGTGTTGTTTGTGTGCGTTGTGTGTGTGTGTGTGTTGTGTGCTGTGTGTGCGTGTGTGTGTGTGAGTGAGTGTGTGCGTTGTGTGTGTGTTGTGTGTTGTGTGTGTTGTGTGCGTGGTGTGTTTGTGTTATGTCTGTGTGTGCGTGTGTGTGTGTGTGTTGTGTGTGGTGTGTGTTGTGAGGTCTGTGTTCTGTTGTGTGTGTGATGTGTGTTGTGTGTGAGTTGTGTGTGCTGTGTCTGTGTTGTGTGCGTGCGTATGTGTGAGCGTGTGTGTGTGTGTGTTGTGTGATGTCTGGTGTTTTGTGTGTGTCATGTGGTGCGTTTGTGTGTGTTTGTGTGGTATTGTGTGTGTTGTGTGTCGTGCGTGTTGTGCGTGTTGTTTGTTGCATGTGTTTGTTGTGTGCTGTGTGTTGTGTGCTGTGTGTTGTGTGCGTTGTGTGTGCTTTGTGTTTGCGTATGTGTGTGTGTGTGTGTGTTGAGTGTGTGTTGTGTGTGTTGTGTGTTGTGTGTTGAGTGTGTGTGTGTGTGTTGCGTGTGTATGTTGTGTATTGTGTGGTGTGTGTTGTGTTTGTTGCACGTGTGCTGTGTGTGTCGTGTGTGCGCGTGTGTGCGTGTGTGTGTGTGTTGTGTATCGTGTGTTGTGTATGTGATGTGTTGTGTGTTGTGTGTGTGGTGTGCTGTGTGTGTTGTGTTTGTGTTGTGTGTGTACGTGTGTGTGTGTGGGCGTGTGTGTGTGTTGTGTGGTGTTTGTTGTGTGTTGTGTGTTGTGTGTTGTGTGTTGTGTGATGTGTGTTGTGTTGTGTGTTGTGTGTGTGTGTTGCGTGTGTTGTGTGTGTTGTGTCTGTGTTGTGTGTGGGCGTGTGTGTCGGCGTGTGTGTGTTGTGGGTGTGGTGTGTGTTGTGTTGTGTTGTGTGTTGTGTGTCGTTTATTGTGTGTTGTTTGTTTGTGTGTTGTGTGTTGTGTGTATTGTGTGTGCGTGTTTGTGTGTGTTGGGTGGGGTATGTGCGGGCGGGCGGGCGGGTGTGTGTGTGTGTGTGAACGGCATGACGCCGCTCCTGGCCGTCCGTTTCGCCTCCGTGAGTGAGGTGCTGACCCGCCCTTTTTCGCCCTACTCCCCCCGGGCCACCTGGCCGCCTGGGGGGCGGATCTGCCCGCCCGTGGCGTTGGCAGCTTGCTTTGCGCCTTCGCGCGCAGGTCGCTGCCTCACCCCAGCGGTTCGCCGCCGCTAAACACTCGCCAGCGCGTGCTCTTCGCGTGCCTGTTCGTTTTACGTGCCGCACGATTGGACTCCCTGGGAAGACCCTCAGCGGCGATTGCCCGTCCTGGACTTCGCCGCGTCCTCGGCGCGTCTCCTTCCCCCACCCCGCCCCGTGCCTTGCCATTGCCCGAGCTGCCTCTGGCGTGGATCTGCCCGCCCCTGGCGCTGGTCACATAGCCTCGGGGTGCTGACGGCCATGGCCGTCCCCCGCGCGCCTGGGCGCCTCTCGCGGCGCGTTGCCTCTCCGGCGGTGCTCTTCTTTCTTTGGCTCAGGAAGCGTCCGCCCCGCCTGCCTCCGAGCGCGGGCCCGCTCCAGGCGCTGCCCCGCCTGTGCCGGCTCGATCCCCTGGGATGACCCTCGGCGGCGATCGCCAGCCTGCGGCCCGGCCGCGCCCGGGCGCGCCCGCCTGCTTCTGACGGGCCCGGCTGGCTCGCCCCCACCTCTGTCTCGCCGGTCCCGTGAGCTGCCTCTGGGCTGCTCGTCCGGCCGCGTTGCCACCTCAGGGTGCTCTCCCGCTCGGCGCCCCCGAGTCGGTGTTCGAGCCGCCTCGCTACCCCCCGTGCGCGGTCCGTCGGGCGCCGCAGCGCCGTGGCCCGTTGGTGCTGCCCCCTCACCGGGTTGCGCGGGCTCGGCGTTCGCCTTGTTGTTTTGCCGGTTCCGTTCCCAGGGCGGACCCTCTGGGCACGTGGAGCCGGCAGACGCGGCGACTTCGGTCTGCTGGCCGCGTCGCTGCCCGTCGGGGAGGTGGCTCGCGGTGGTCTTGCCCCTCTCGCTGCCCCGCCCCGCCCCTCGCCACTTGTTGCCTGGGCTCCCTGCTCTCGCTTCCCGTTCGCCGCGCCCGCTACGCCCCCCGCCCCCCCGCTTCCGGAATTCTCCGGCTCCGCCTGGCGGGTTCGGCTCTCTGCCCGCTGCACCCTCGCAGGCGCCTGCGCTTCCCGCCCCTCTTCCGCCGAGCACCGGTTGGCGCCCCCTCCGCCCGCCGTTCCGGGCTTCTCCCGCCGCTGCTCCGCCCGCAGCTCCCTGCCCGCATTCCTGTGGTGCGGCCTCTGCCCTTCCGGCCTTCTCCCGCCGCTCTCTGGGTTCAGCCCCTGCCGCCCCTGCCCGCCTAACTTTCGCGCGGCCTCGCTTCCTGCCGACAGGCGACGCTGGCTCGCCCGGCGCCCGCAACCGCTGCTGCCCCGCCTGCCCCGCTGCCCCGCCGCCCCGCGGCCTCGCCGGGCACCCGGCACCTCCCCGCTGCCTCCCCGCTGCCCTGGCGCCCATGGTGCCTCCCGCCCTGCCTTTGTCCCGCGAGGGGCCGGCGCCTTCCTCCTTTGCTTTTCGTTCTTCCGACTTCTGGGCGCGCGCGCGTTTCTTGCTGCGCGGGCGTTTGGCGGCGAGGGGGTGTTCCCGCCTGCGACGCACGACAAGTGTGTGTGTGTGCGTGTGTGTGTGTGTGTTTGTGTGTGTGCTTGTGTTTGTCCTTGTTATTGTCCTTGCTCTTGTGTGTGCTCGTGCTTGTGCGTGAGCGTGTGTTCATGTTTGTGTTTGTGTTGATCGTTGTGTTTGTGTGTGAGTGTTTGTGTTGACGTGTGTGTTTGTGTTTGTGCTTGTGCTTGAGCGTGTGAGTTTGCTTGTGCTGGTCCGTGTGATTGTGCTTGCACTTGTGTTTGCACTTGTGTTTTTGCTTGTGCCTGTGCTGCTGTTAATGCTGGTGTGTGTGTGTGTGTGTGCGTGTGCTGGCGCGTGTGCTCGCATTGGTGTTGGTATTGGTGTTGTTGTTGTTGCTGTTGCTGGTGCTGTGTTAAGTTGCGAGCGTGTGTGTGTGTGTGTTGTGGATTATGTTGGTGGTTGTGTTTATGTTTGTGTTGTGTTAGTGTTTGTGTTGGCGTTGGTGCGTGTCTGTGTGCGTGTGCGTGTGCGTGCGCGCGTGTGTGTGCTTGTGCGTGTGCGTGTGTGCGTTTGCGTGGGCGTGCGCGTGCGTGCGCGTGGTGTGCATGGTTTGAGTGTGCGTGTGTTCTTCACCCTGTCGCTGCGCGCAGGGCCGTGGCACCTAAAATGATGCGTATGCGTGCGCGTGCGCGTGCGTGCGTGTTTGTGCGTGTGTAGGCTCGTGTCCCAAACAGTGCTTGCACTTAGGGGATTCTTACCCTGTCCGGAAGGACTAAGATATGAATGCTGCGATGTCTGGTTTCAGCGCTGGTGATCTACGGCTGGTGCCATGTGATGCCCCCGTCGCTGGTGCCATGTGGTAGTCGCGATTTCTGGTTGCCCTGGTGTCCTCTGGCGTGGGTCCTACTGCTGCTGTGATTGTCGCGATTTCTGGTTGCTGAACTGGTGTCCATGGCTGATGCCCTATGACGTTCCATGGTGCCCCGAGGGCGGTTTCCTACTTTGTCGCGGCTTTTGGTTGCCATCCTGGGCACCGCATAGTTTGCACAGCGTAGGCTGCATCGCACAGATTGCACACGATGGATTGCACCCCATGTGTTCCAGAAGAACACTGTGTGAGGTCCACTCTGGCAACCACTATTAAAGCAACTTGGAATCTACTCCACCACCATGCCTGCCCAGGATGGCCCTGGCAAGGGTGGATCCTGGCCAGGACACAAAACGACCCTTCGCCACGATGGACCCTGGGAGGGGTTCGGGGAACGCTTCTTAGCAGATGTGGGAGCCAGCGCGGGTCCAGGCGTCCCAAAGTAGTCACGACGATAACGGCATGTAATGCTTGACACAAGCAGATGACGAAGGGCCGATGTGCACAGTAGCACAGACAGCGGCGAACGGAAGCAGAGAGCATTGTCGAACAATGAGGCGTCATTTGGGGTTGAATCTTTGCTGGGAGATAGCAGACCATGGCGTGATTGCTTTCAAGCCCTCCTTGCATCTCACTTGCCAGGATCGTGTTGCATAAGTTGTTGTTGCATCAGTTCCAAAACGAGTCTGACAAGTGCAATGCGGCCTCATTTCCTGTTGTTCGCCCTTGCCCTAAGCAGGACATCCTCACGCGGATCGCGAGTTCAGTGGCCAGGCTCGGCCGCAGGCCAGAGGACCTGTTCCGGCAACTGGACGCGAACAATGACGGAAGGCATCTTGGTTCGGGAGGGGTTATTTACGCATGGGTTCGTTTCTGCGCAAAGGAAGGTGTTGTTCTGCATAGCACAATGTAGTATAATTGTGTTCTGTTGTCCGATACTTTGTGTCCCTCAATAGTTCTGGGGGTACCTGTAGTCCGGGGGGGGTACCTATAGTCCAGGGGGGGGGGTACTTGTAGTCCGGGGGGGGGTACCTGTAGTCTGGGGGGGGTACTTGTAGTCCGGGGGGGGGTACTTGTAGTCCGGAGGGGGGTACCTGTAGTCTGGGGGGGGGGGGCGCGCATGGGGGTACTATATGGTCATGCCTCAAAGCACGCGTGGTTCCACGCACGCGGGTGTTTAGTACTTACGCGCGCGGGACCTCACGCGCATCGTTGCACACGACACGCCCGCGCGCACGCGCGCATGCACGCGCAGACTCACACGCACGCGCGCACGCGCGCACGCGCGCACGCAACCGCACGGAACCGCACACACGCACACGCAAGCACACACGCACGCACACGCGCGCACGCACAGACACTCTGTATCATGACAATGACAACTTTCCAGATATTGCAAGATTGAGTTGTCTGCTTAGGTCACAGCCAACGATGGCGAAGTTCTGAGCACGCCTAAATGAAAATGTGCGGACGCATCTTGGCGGGCCGCTTTGGCTTCCAGAGACTACGTAGCGAACGCGGGGGGGCTTGTAGCTCCGGGGGCTATAGGGGGGGCACCTGTAGTCCAGGGGGGGTAACTGTAGTCCGGGGGGGGTACTTGTAGTCCGGTTGGGGGTACCTGTGGTCCGGGGGGGGGGGTACCTGTAGTCCGGGGGAGGGGTACTTGTTGTCCGGGGTGTACATGTAGTCCGGGGCCCCAAAACTATTGAGGGACACAGAGTACGTGCAGGGGTTTACCTCATCCTCCGCACGATCAGTCCATCCTTCCTCATGGACTGATGCTCTGAGCCGGAAACGGCTGGACTCGCCACCCCTTCCTTTGCACATATCCTCGCCTCCATCTCCCCGGCATAATCCCCAGGGCTCCGCTGCTGTTGCTGCTCTTCTATCGCTGGCCCGCTCCTAACACTCCTTACTCCAGCAAGCAGAGGCCTGCTCAGGTTCAGGGGCCCTGGAAGAACTTGCGCCGTCTGCGGGCTTCCAAAACCCAGATAATTTGCATGATGAAATGCTGGCCCCGGGGAAAGCCCTGTTGCTCAGCGCCTGTCCCTCATGACAATCAGTGCCGTCCCCCACCCCCTGTCTCATGCATCTGCTGAGGGGGGGGGGGGGGGCGCGGGAGGTGCTACGATCGGGCCCACGGTTCTTGGTGCCCCAAGTATTGTCTGCGGGTGCGGCAAGAGCCTCCCAGGGATGATGTCCCTAAGACGTTCGTAGATGTTCGGGTGACGGCTTGGTTTGCCCCGTTGCCAGCTTAGAGTACATGCGAGGTTGCATATTTTGCCCGTTCATCATCCTCTCAGTTTTCTTGTTTATCCTCCCCAAACTTGCGCTGGAAACGAATGTATGTTTGGATAGAGCTCCAGTGAGGTTTCCGAGAGGCAAAACAAAATGATCCCCACCCAAGAGCGCGAGGCGAACTACCAAGGGAGCACCAGCACACTGGGCTTGGCAGCCGCGGTATGTCATCCGTCGAAGGCATGGGCCGGGATATCCAGGGAGCCCCGTGACTTTTTGGGCCTGGTAGCCGCTATATGCAGGGTGTGCGAGGCGGGTCGGTTGTTTTTTGGGCAAGTCTCACACTCCCAACCTGTCGCGTCCGGGACCCGAAGACGACGCACAAGGACCCCACGAGTCCCTTGGCTGGGGCTGCCCAAGAGTGGTCCAATCGGCTCAGATGGGCTCAAGGACGACCCAAGAGGGTGCCAGGAGGGGTCGAGGCAAGCTCTCGAAGAGCCCGAGTAATAATTCCAGACATACAGTCCAAGAGAGCCCCGCGACGGCCCAAGGGAGACCCCGGAGGCCCATCTGTACGTGGCCATTTCGGCTCAAGCCATTCTGGCTTGATTCAAGTAATTTCGGCTCAAGCCGTTATGGCTACAGGTATTTCTTTGTCATGCCATCCTAAATAGAATATATCATGTGGCTGCCAGACATTCGCGTCAAACATGTACCTTATGCATTGTCGAAACGCATCCAGATTCATCGCAAGCATTGAATTTTGTTGTTGCTGCATCTTGTATCGTCAATGTTCGCGATCTGCTCGAAGCATGCGTAGCCTTCTGTGTGTGTGGCGATTGATGACTCAGGAGTTCTCTTACAATGCTAGCAAGATGGCCAAGTATCCTGAAGCACGCGTGGGCTGGTAGGCGAGGGCACTCGTGGCTGCCAATGTTCGCATAGAAAAACTCACCGCCGACAGCGGCAGGGTCGGCACCGCCGCGGGCTGGACTAAACAGCCGGGCAGGAGGAGGAGAAGGACGGGGAGGAGGAAGAGGAGAGGACGACGTGAAATCAGAAGCATCATGTGACTGCCTTCGGACCATTCTATACACGTCCGTTGCCCACTTCTGTCTGGGGCTGCCTCGCCGCCTCTTGGTTGCCCAGGTTCGCGGGGTGCTGTCGGGGTTGCATATAACCACCCTGACTAAAGAAGCGTCGCTACTGTTTGCAATTTTACCGTTCAGAGCGACCTGCCTAGAAGCCAAACAATTCGAAAGTGGCTGAGACGGCGCTCTTTTCATGACCTGCTCGTTGCTGACTCATGACACGTAAGAGCATGGCATGCCTAAGATGCGCCTCAGGCTTCTGCAATGGAAAGCGTCCATCCGAGCCTTTTCAGCACGGAGGAGCCACACAGAGTCAAGGGAGTACTACAGTTTGCTCAGGACGCACTCCTTGTAAATCTTCAGCTTGCGCGCCAATCCTGTGGACGAATGAGACCGCATCTCCCGTAGTTTGTTGAAGACTTCAGTTGCTTCTCCTATGCGCCGGGACAGCTCCGACGACGCCTTCCCGTCGCATGTGATCTGCCCACTTAGGTATATAGCTTCCCGTACCGCGCTAATGTGTCCGCCATCCGGTCTCGTGATGATCGTCCCTGTCGATTTGCACGTGTATCACATTATCCGGAAGTAGCTCCAATCCGTACTCCCTGCCCTCCACGACGATGGCGTTCAGCATGAACCGCAAGTTCTCTTGGTGCTGTCAGGCCAACAGAGTATCGTCGGCAGTCGGCATACAGAACATCTCTTGTAACCAAGACGGCCGGATTATCGCGAAGATCGGTTCGATCGAACACGTCGTGCAGGAAGACGCGTTGTGCGGCTATGAAGAGGCAGAGCGATATTGGGCACCCTTGCGGGTTATTCCTGCGCGTTGACATCTCTCTGAAGATGAGCCCGTGTGATCGTGTATCACGAACTACCGGTTCTCGAGATCGTTGTCTCCGGGCAGCTTGGTTGTTGGAAAAGTTTCGTACATTACATCTGGCTTCAGTTTGTCGAATGCTTTCGCCCAGTCCAACATCAAGAGCAGCATCCCGCCCGAGTTGTTGTTGCGCGCAGCGTCTATCATGCGCCGCACCAGCATTTGTGCGTCTGCGTGCACCACTAATCAGCCTCTGACGCAGCATAGAGGCCAGAACTTTGCATCCGACCGGCAACAATGAGATGGGGTGTTAGTATGTTGGGAGCGTAGCGTCGCCATTTTTGAACAAGAGCGCGTCTCTTGCCCGCCGCCACGACTCTGAATGGCACATGCACGATCGTCTTCCGCCACTGCCTCCCGAAAGTCTGGCGGCACGTCGTCGGGGCCAGCCGCCTTCCCAGCCTGCAGTTTGCCAAGAGCTCACCAGAGTTCGGCCAGCGCGAACGACGATGCGGCGATTGGCAGCCTAGGCCTAGGCCCAAGCCGCGCGTCACTTGCCGGCCTCTCGCTGTCGAAGGCGTCGTTGCCATTGCACTTGCTCAAAGTAGTCGACAACATTTGCCCTGCCCGCCGTCTTACTAAGACTACCGTCTGGTTTTCTGATACAAGCATACTTGACGGCCCTGGGCTTGCGGAGGTACCTGGTGGTTCCCCACCCCCCACCGCGAGTGAATTCATCCAGTCACTTTTTTTGAGTTTCGTTACCCGATTTCCTTATGAGCTTGTGAAGTCTGCGTTCGCCCGTGGTCGGCTGCCCTGCGACAGGCGTCCCGGCGCGAAGTCAATGCCAGCGTAGCTCGGCTTCTCCGTGGTCGCCTAGCCAGGAAGCCACTGTCAAGAAGCGCACCAGCAGCATGAGCGAAAGCGGTTCGAAGGTCCTCAGCAGATTCGTCCAACGAGCATGCCCGGTCAGAAGACGATTCCGTTAATTTCTGCGTGAATTCAGTTCGAACGCCTGGATGCTGAAGCGCAGATCTGTCTATTGATCCTTTTTTGGGCCCGGGCCTCCGTCACGAAATTCACAGTGCCAAGGTCCACGTCAACGTTGTCAGCACGGATCACAACCTCGAGTTTGAACTTAGCACAGGGTCTGAGGAGTCCGAAGGCGATGTTCGCGAATCAACGAATTTCAAGTCAGGCGTATGGAGAGTATGTTGGAGTGAATGGGAGACGTCGATCTCACACCACGGAGGAGCGAGGGATATCCTCATCTGGTTTTCAATGGTGGTCAGCTGAAGTTTGTCACGCCTGCGGCACTGATTAATCCACTGGGATGTATATGTCCTCCAGCACAGTTGGATTTGGACCTGTGTCTTCAGACTGCAACGTGTTGCTCCAAACGTTGGAGCTGCTGAGATTTGTTCAACCTCGTGTGCTCTGGCCTCGAACTTATCAATGCAAGGACAAGTTAACCTAGCAGAAGCAGCACGGTGTCTATCCGGGCGCGTGGTGCGTTCCATCAAACATTTGAAGTGGTTCCGGAGCCATTGTACACATGTTCGAAGCACGAGCGCCGCGTCTTTGCGAAGTAGTGTTGTTGCGCATCAGCCCCGTTCCCCTTTCCCGGTGAGTCCTTGACCTCAGCGCAATTGGTGTTGGGGCACGAGTTGTCGTGGGTTTGG